AGCCTGCAAACTCATTATAAGAGTGTAAGATATAAATGTGTATGTTTCTTCTATAATAACACAATAGAGGAGGTTCCTATTCTATTACTGGGTTGCTGCTTCCTGTTTGTCTCTCTCCAGACATAGCAAGCATGCCAGTCAGCATGTAAGAGAAGATTCAAACAACTTCACTCTAAAGCCCATCCATCAGGATACAAGAACAATTGAAATAATTCCTATTGTGAGCCCAACTTGCTTCACAAAATAGGAAGTCTTGCTAGCTGAGGAAGAGTGAAACCAAAGTTACTTTCTTAGACAAGCACTACTTAAGGATAATCACAAGAAGATCAATAAGGGAGAAAGAAAGCAGAACTGGCATGCAGTTTTGCCTCCAAAGTCAGATATATCCCCAGTGAAACAAACTTCATTTAGAAGCATAGGACTTCACCTTGTATTAGTAGTATATCAACTATAACGGTGATGGCGAACCTTTTAGAGACCGAGTGCCCAAACTGCAACCCAAAACCCACTTATTTATTGTTGGGTGCCAGGTGGGCGTGGCCCACTGGATGGGCGTGGCTGTGGTGGTCATGGCAGATTGGGTGGGTGTGGCCAAGGTGGGCGTGATCACCTCAATGTTGCTCGTGGGGAGGGATGCCTGTGGGGGCTGGGCAGGGTTGGGGGAGATCCAGGTGGTCTCCGGAAGGTGGGGCGGTAGGCAGGAGGCTCGTCCTGTGGGGTGAGGCAAGGCAAGGCAGGATGGGGGTGCCATTGTCACAGGGCAAGGTGAGGCAGGGGCCAGGACGGCTGCTGCTTGACACCATCGGCCCCTGAACACAGAGGCCAGCGAGCGCATGGGTGCTGGGATACATGCAGCCATGTGGGACCTCAGCGAGTTAGCAGGCAGCTGGTTGAAGAGGGACAGTTGCCATCTCCAGGGCATGGTGCGCATGCCCACAGAGAGGGCTCTGAGTGCCGCCTATGGCACGCGTGCCATAGGTTCGCCACCACTGAACTATAACATCTACCTCAGCATGCAAAGCAAGGGTTATTCCATTAAGCTGCAATATTCTCAAAAAGGCACATAAGCAAATAATTTAACATAGGAGCCACAGAGCATGCCAGAATGACAATTCATTCTTCTCTGAAACAGGCTGGTATTGTGCTGGATTTCAGTAGACCTCTACACCCAATTCAAAGTGCTATTAGTTATCTACAACGCTCTATATGGTGTAGCTATGGTGTACCATAGCCTTGCCAAAAATGAATCTACCCATTTCACGAAAGGATATCAGGAAGATCTGTTAAGAGTCCCAATCTTTATTTGAAGTCGGAGGGATATGTTCTGTAGCAGTGACCATGCTTTGGAATCTCTAACCTACAGAGGTTCATAAAGCCCCATCCATATCAAAAGAGCACTGAAGATAATTCTATTTCACCAAGACTTCAACCCTAGTTAAATGTTGCTGATCTCTATGTTAGGAGAAGGTTGATTTATAGTTGTTGGTTTTTTAAATTAACATATTGTAACCAGCCCTGTCTTTTAATTTGGGCAGAATCTAAAAACTATAAAATAAATTAACAAAAAAAAATTTTAAAGAAAAAAATAATAATCAGATCGGCCATGCACTAGTCCATGTCACTCAAAGCTACCCATTAGCTTGAAATTCTGCTAGCTTCAATGGTAAAAAGATTTCTAGGAGAAGAAAGAGGAAGTGACCAAAACAGTGAAGTCCTCCTGTATGGAGGAAACTAGCCTCCTTTATAGGAATGACAAGTTGATTTTTAATCCTGTTTCAGTTTCCTTTCTTGACGGATAAAATAAGAGACAAACATTTTATTATGGAGAAGAAATCTATTTTCAAAGTACTCGAACTATAAAGTATCCATTCATCATGATATACCACGAAAGGGAAAAGGAGACAAATAACCAAACTCTGCTAATTCAGAAAGACATGCCTTCAGAAAGTTATCCAGCTTACAAGAGTTAAGGTTGCTTACAGCCACTGCTCTACACCTACCCTGAGAATACATAAAATACCAAGCAGCCCTTCCTTAACCATCCCAACAAGGGATAATTAGGAAAAGTATTAGAAATATAAGAAAAGGGAACAGATCTAAATAATGTGATTTTTTTGAGAAGGTGCTTCAGCCAGAAATGCATTTAAAAAAAAAAGCACCAAAGGCCAAGGAAAAATGGTACATAATTCACCCTACTCTAAAGTAAACCTCATTCAAGTTTGTCTCAGCGCAGTAATTGAAAGCGCATTAATTAGCCCAACCCTATACTTAACACGAGGAGTCAATCCCCATGCATTCAGCAAAGGGAACTTTTTCACAAACTAACGATGATAAACTCGTGGTTAAAGCAAAAGGCACTTTTATACAGTACTACCGTACTTCCTCAACCTGGGCGTGAAGGCGCATCTCGAAGACCACCTGGAAAAGCAACCTGCAGCAGCCGGGAGGTGCGGCGCCTGTCTCGTGAGGGGGGGGGGAATAAAAGGAGGCATAAAAATGCCAGCGCTCGCATCGTGGAGGGGAACGGCCCCCCTGAATCAAGGAGAGTTTCAGCGTGGCTCGGAGCGGGTGAGCCCGCTGGAAACGAAGCGGGAACGCTCGAGGTTCAACCCCCGGGACCCAAAGCCCGAGCAACCTCTTCACCCGGTCATACCTCCCCGGACACCCACCCACCCCTTTTGCACTTACCACTTCTCACCCGTTCCCAGCGGTCGTTTCCTCCCGGGCTGGCCCGGCCCCTCTCCCTCTACCTGCTGCCTCTGGGCCTCCAGCCCGGGCAGCCCCCGCTCCGCCATCGCCACCCACACCTCCGCCGCTTCTCCGCCAGCCCGGAAACGAGAAAGGGAGACACCTTATTTCCCTCTCCCGGCTCCTTCATGGCTCCACCCACCCGCTTCCGACCGGCCAGATAGGTGTGGCAAACGTGACGGAAGATAGCGGACCGAGCACCATGTTGAATGTGGCCTACGGTGACGGCGTCGTGACGCATCGACCCCCTATTGGTTAGCTGATGGCGCAGGAAATTGAACGAACGACGGGATATCGTTCTGTGATTGGATGAATGCATTTACACGAATCCTTGCCTTGTACGCGCCGGGCAGAAACAAGAGGCGAGTGTTATTTTTCTCTTACGGCATATTAAAAAAAAAAAACATCGTGAAAAACGTGGACGCCTGTTCATTTATTGATCTGCTTCGTACCGCTTCCTGCAGTACTGACAAGGCGATTGGACCAATCTCGGAATTCTCGAGATTGAAGTAACCAATACTAGGAAGATACTGTGCGCGATACTTGTAGTTGCCATTTTTACTAAGGGCAATTTTAAAATGCTTACTTGGCTAACGCAGCCCTCAGCGTTGCCGGTCGAAATTAATTTTGGTGCTGTCATTTGAAGAACCGTGGAGAAGGCAGAGTCAAGAGCAAGCTGCCAATTATCTTTAAATTACTTTTTGAGAGATACTAAAACACTCTCCAGCAGTTTTTAGTTATTTACGAATTTACCCACACTAATCACAGGATCTCACAATTACTTACGTTCCAATCAGAATTGCATAACGTGAATTCCATCGTAGTATTTTGTGTTAAGCCAGCTATTTTGACTTGTAATAAAAACATAATTTATAGAATAGCACCAGTTATTGAGGAACCAGACTTAATATATTATTTTGGGAAGCCAATACTATAGAATGGGCAGAACTAGACATTGCTGAAATGCAGCCAAGCATCCAATTTTATTCAAACAATTGTGGGCAAGCAACCCATGGCTTGATACAATGCATGAAATTAAGTCCATGCAGTTCTTTCTTTCAGTGACTTTTCTTGCACCAACCTTCTACACCTTATCTTTATCTTTTGTCAGTTAGAGCTGAGGCTAGAACAGTTGGCTATTTTTGATTCTTTCAAACTACCCTTCCCATGCAACAGACAGCACTGCACAACAGCCTAAATATACACATCACTTATGTCCCAAGTTTAGAACAACTATGGATGAAACTTCAAAGCATTTACTTTCACTTTGTGTAGATTTACTGTCATTGCAATGATGGAGCAAATTCTGTTGTGAAGAAAGCAGGTTTACTACAGTTTGCCAATTCCAACATCATTGCAAATTGTAAGTGCAAATCCTAAATTGTTATTTCTACTTCAATGGGCCAAACATGGCAGTCATTTCGTAAGCTATTAGGAAATGAGGCCAGGACAAAGCAGTTACAGCTTAGCAGCAATCCTCAAAAATGTTTCCCACAGCACCAGCATGCCTACTCATACCCTCCTTGGCACCCACTAGCCTCACTTTTTAGAAAATAAAAGTGCCTGCACAGACACAAGGCAAGATAAACACGGATTATAGGAATCACTGAAGTTGTAGGTTGTTTTAAATCCATCTTACTTTTTAAGAGATTGATAAATTTGTGGCAGTCCTTTTTGTAAAGTAACAATTTTTTTCCAGCAGAGCAGCCTTATTTTCTCAAAATTCCAAATACCAATCCCAAAATGGTGGGTAACTGGACCTTAGCATGTTGCATGACTGTCTGCCATTAAGCCACGTTGGTCATAGAAAACTATATTCATTCAAAATGACTTATTTCCCCATGTCCCATGACATGTATGAACAGAAATTATGTTTTCCAGCAGGACAGGCTCTTTTCCAGTGGCTCTATTGAGGTACACTGATTATATGGTATTCTTTATGGAAGGCTGTTATCTAATCTGGCAACAGCCTTTCCCCATCAACTGCCTAGCACTTCATGAAGGCAAAAACCTGACCTCTGAGGGTTCCCCAGAGCCCACCAATGGATAAACTTGGGAGCCAGCATGTCATTTCCATGGTTTGCTCCTGAGAAATCTGAGGGTGCTTTGCAGTGCCTACTGATATGAACTGAACATCTGGGAATATCAGTAGCAGCAGAAAATATTTAAAAGACAGTCAAAGGTTTTCTTCTACTGAAGAAAAATATCCATAATCCTAACGCAGGATTAAATACAACACAGCATACACCAAAGATTGTTGGAGACTTTTAATCAGTTCCATACATTTGGATATGGTGCATTAATTAACCCCAAAGAAGGTGGACAGAGCATGAGGGGAGAGAGAAAAGATAGTTCATCTTGTTCCTTAGGGACTTTTCTTCTATAATGGTAAACTTTGCTCTTTGAAACAGAAGGTTCTCCCCCAATTCAAGTTATGTACAACAACAGAGTTTCTTCTTCCATACTAGGAGAACAAACTCCGTATCTACTCCACTGAGATGTGGAGGGAAGCAGGACTGAGGTGGGGGAGGCCCGTGGAGCTAGTCCATTCCATATGCTAATGATTATCCATTCCTGGGTTTCTGTTTCCTGCAAGAAGAGGTTGATTGCTTGTCTCCAGTCCAGAAACAAATTATGAGGCTTTGCCCTTCCCCACCCTCCTCAAAAGCAACATCCAAATCCTCTGTACATTCATTTCCCAACAGGCCATCTTCAGTTTTCTTCTCGCATAAAAGCTCTCATAATAGGTTGGATTAAGAATACATCCATACTATAAGCAAACTGGTTTAGCCATCATGGCATTTGTTCCTGCTGTCTCTTCTGAGAATCCTGAATCCAGTTTAGGTCCTCCCAAATTGTCAGTATTATTCTGAACTCACACTTCCCCAAATTCCTGAAAATTCAATAAAGCCTATTTGTGTTTGCAGAATACCTCATGTATCACATCTCGGCTACAAGAACTTCACTTCTTCTCTTTCAACGAAGACAGAGAATGGGAATTCCATAAACTAAACCAGATCAGATTCTGGACCCCTCTCACAAAGGTAGCCCTGTATATCTTGGCCATATTTCTCCATTAATCTACTCAACCACAGCATAATATGAATTCCTACCAGTCCCATATAGACTCAATATTTAATCAGCTATGGTTTGTGGTCTTTCACTAGGGTTGAGGTCTATTTGGATTAACAATGGGTAAAGAATGCCGCAAATCAGCCCTTAAAACCATGGTCTCAAGTGGGGTCTTGAATCCACAGTTTGTATTACCTATGATTCAACACTGCATTCAGTAAACCTTAGTTAAACTGTCTTCTGATCTCCCCAGTTTTTCACGATTTTAAACTGAGCAACCTCAGCTATAGACTCACTGTACATTTACAATCAAGATTCTGGCAGCAAACCAAGTCTAGTGCTGTATTATATTGACAGATCATGTCTGCAAGAATGGAAGTAACAAAACATACATATTATGGCTGGTGAGTTCCTGCCGGAAGTGTGATCTCATTTCAGACCTACTAAGAACAGGTCAGTTTTGAGGCAGAGAAACATTTTGAACCACTAGGTCCAGGGCGCTTCAGAGACATGTTCTAGGGAAGAAGCTGAAAACTCTGATTAGAGGGACGAGAAAATTATCCCTCAACTAGAGAGGTTTCTGATTCTAAGGTGCAGTTGAAAGAGGAGACAAAAGGAAGGACCTGGAAGGCCATAGTCAAAAACCCAGTAGGCAATAACTGAGGGAAGGATCATGCAAGGTTAGTAGGCTAAAAAAGACCTGTAGATATTCACTAAGCTGAAGGACAGAGGCTGGTCCTTCCTGCTTATTAGGATGCCTGTGTAAACACAACCTTCTTATCCCCTGAGCCGAGCACTGGTTACTTTCAGCCTATGCACAGAGGTGAATGCTGGGCAAAGTATTGTAGGCTAGATTTTTCTCCAAATGTTCCCACTGCATGGGCAGCAGCATCTGAATGTCAAGGCAAGAGGTCACCAACAGCGCAAACTCCTGGCATCCCAATTCACAAGGTCGGCTACATCTCTGCATGTTCTCTGTAGGCATTTTCAGAAATCCTTTTTAAGTTGCCTGAGCGTTGTAACAGTAACTAGAACAGTTCCTCTTATGGCTCTCATCAAGGGAAGATCTTGGAACCTTATAAGCTACCTTGTCTAATATCCCTGGGAGCACAAACTCTAGGAGATGGATCTCCGCCTTTCAGTTCTGTGCACTGAAGTTTCTGTGCCCTGAGCATAAAGGAACAGTCCTGGCCTGGGGAGCTGTGATACTGTTGGGCATTTCCCCTTTCCTGTAAATCAGCTCCCCTAGTTGTAGGAGAAGTGGAAGCAGAGAGAGTCCAAACACAGGCCGGTCCCATGGAGACTTTTTTCTCTAAATATTGAAGGCTCCGGCATACAGGGATGAATCTCTAAAAAGCCCAAGACTGCAATACACAGAGCAGAAGGAAAGGGCATCAGAGTCTTCTGAGTAAAAAGTCGATCCCAAAAGCAGCTAGCTTTGGAGGGATGTTGGTTAAAGCAAAGGGGGCCAGTTCCTCCAGAAGAAGCACAGACAGGAATTGAACAATCTTTGAAACCAGTGAAAACATAGCTGGGGAAAGGGCCCATTGCCTCTTAAGTGTGTCTGATTCTCAATGGTAGAAGAGATAATTGGTGTGTGGCTGACTGCAGAACAGATGTTCTTTCTTCTTTACTTTGGATTCAAAACAGTATGGGAATTAATGGGAATTATGTAATCTACATAACTAAGTACTGAGAACCTGCTACTGTAAATTGTTACAATGATAATCATGGGACTGAAAATTATAGGAACTGATATGAAAATCTAAACAGCACTGAGACAAGGCAAATGATTTGCATGAAGAAGACCAAATAAAGGCTGGCATTTTATAGTTCTAGTTTTGGATGATTACGCCCATATTCCTCAACTGCTGGTCCTGCTTACTGAGGTTGAGGGGTGGTGGTGTCCAAAACTTTTGTGAAAGTGCCAAGATTTTCATACCAAAATAAGCATCACAGCATCAGAGAAAGATGTTGATGGGCCCATTCTAACATAGTCATTTGGATATAAGAAATGTAAGACAAGCTACAGGTCATGATCACCTAGGGACTGTAGTATACATAGAAAACAAAGATCAGTGGTGAGAGAACAAGGCACAATCCACTGGGAATTTCCTGCACAGGGCCTACTCGAATAGCTGATGCCTGTGTCTGGACTAGAAGTCAGTGGACTGCGTCTGGAAAGGCAAAGGAAGAAATGGAAACCCTGAGTACCAAGCAAGTAATATAAGAGCCGTAACAGATGAACAGGAGTTAAGTCAGGATTGAGAGCACTAACCAAGCACAAGCCCAGGCGAGGCACCAGTCAAGACTCAAGGGATCAAAAAGGAGACTCCCCTTTGGTGTGAGAAGGAGGTGGAAGTAGCTCCGAAGCTGAGCAAAAAGAGTTTAGAAAGAGAGCACCCTTGCAGCCAGAAAGTCCCAATAAGAAAGAAGACAGGAAAAGAAGGACCATCTTTCCAAAGATTTGCGAATTCTCAGAGGACATCTGGTTGCCTGGTCCACCCCTGGACTTCAAAATACACGGTTAGGCCAGGAAAACAGAGCACCCACCACGTCCAAAGAAAGTGATTCTAGCTAGGAAGGAGGAGTCCACTCATCATCCGAAATACTAACAACCTCCCCAATCCCATCGATTCCTAGATTATGGAGTGCAAAGGATGGAACTACTCTGGCCCTAGTGCTTCTCCTCCCTCCACCTGGCCCACTACAGGGATGAGACAGGGAGGGGATTGGCTCCCTCATAGTTAATACTGTACACCCCCCCCCATTAATGGAGAGGCTAGGGTGCGGGGGTGTCTCTCTCTCTCTGTCTGTATAGATATTTGTAAATATAATATTTATAATATTGCATTGAAAAAATAAAACTTAAAAAATAAAATGAAACACCGTGTGTGTGAGAGGGAGGGAGGGAGAGTCCGTCCCAGCGGCACAGAGAATCGGTGGCTGGCTTGTTGGTGCCAGGAGCAGTCACGTTTCTGCTTAGTTCCAGGGCCCCCCACCTTTGCCCCAACAAATTCCCAGCACAAGGTCCTCATGCCACAGTTCAATACCAAGAAGCCACCAGTGGAGATAGTCCGTGGGGTGGGGTGGGGGGGAAAACCTGGCTTCTTTCTACCCTTGCCAACCCAGAACTGTAGGCTTCAAAGCAGCAGGCTTGGTCGTCCATTCTGACCATTCACTGTAGGGAAACAGCAAAAGTGTTATAGATAGAATGCATTTTGCGCCTTTCCCCAACTTCTAGATCAGTTGTTTTTTTTCTCAAACTTGAAAATTTTAAGATGGATGGACTTCAACTCCCAGAATTCTCGGGAGTTGAAGTCCACACATCTTAAAGTTGCCAAGTTTGAAAAGCGCCGATTTAGAGGATGAGGCCATTAACATTCCCCCAGATTCCTGCTAACGTTTCCTCCCCAACCAGGTAGTGTCTCCCTGTCTCGTAGTAATACTGAGCCTTGTCATAATGCTTTGGGCAATCTGGAATTACAGTTTTTGTGTAATATGGATGTAAATTTCATATTCTCTCAGCAACCCGATGAAGCAGCCACGTTGGGTAGGTCCAATATTTTTAGCCCCATTTTATGGATGGAAGAATTGTGAGCTAGAAAGTGCACCTGGCCTAACGCCACCGGATGAGAGCAACTCCAAGTTGGGTTTTGAACAAGGGCATTTCAATTCACCGGCAATTCAGTCTCAAGATCATAAGGTTCCGATGCCTCATGCTTTTTGCATTCTGGTTCCTTCCTCACCCTCCTCCATCGTTTTGTTCCACTTTCCCTTCTTCTGATCCCAAATTTCATTAGCTTTAAAGTAATGTGGTAAACTTTGAATTGGGGATGCACTGGGCTAAAAAGACACAGTCAGATTTGAAACAGAGGTGCCAGGAAGACTCTAGTCAGGGTGATTGAGAGAGAGGGGAGGGTGCTAACTCATGATGCTGAGAACAGGAAGAAGTGCGAATGGAAGTGGGTGGGGCACAGATACCTGGCCTGGTGGCTACAATTCAGTGTCCCCTAACTGGAACATGGTTGCTGCTTGTGGGAGAGGTGAGAGTGGTAACTGCATAACCACACACACAGAGGTGTAGTGTTAAGCAGGGGGATGGGAAAAGACTGCTTCTCCAAGAGAGCAAGTTTCTGGAGACAGGAAGAGGCAACAGATAGGAAGGGGCTATCAAAGTGCTCTTTCAGTACCAAGAAATGTGGGCCACCAATTCAGGGGGAGGAAGAGAATTTTATTCAAACCTGGGGGCTAATGAGAAAGTGGAGGGGCTCCTGTTGACAGAATTACTCGACAACCACTTCTCACCTGATTCAGGCAGGGAAGCAGATCTCAGCCCAGTCTCTTTCTGTAACTGAATCTCCTTTAGTGCAAATATTGATGTTGCTACAGTGGAAGAAAAAAAAAGACACAAAGCCAGTGAGATAACCCCAATTACTAGGCCTGCTATTCTATCATGCTAGCATGTGAACTGATAAAAAGGATAAAATAATTTGAGTACAAGGGTGTGCGTGTGTGTGTGTGTGTGTGTGTGTGTGTGTGTGTGTGTGTGAGAGAGAGAGAGAGAGAGAGAGAGAGAGAGAGAGAGAGAAATAGAGACAGACAGAGACAGTGTATGTGTGTTGGCAAATTTTTGAATCCATTTTTATGGATTTTATCCCATTAAGGGAGGTGGCAGACATTTGTTTCCTTCTCATCAATCATGTTGCTTCTCAAAGACTGTCTAGACCAGGGGTAGGCAACCTTGGCTCTTTCATGACTCGTGGACTTCAACTCCCAGAATTCCTGAGCCTGCCATGCTGAGGGCAAAGGGAGAGGTTTCCAAGCTGAGTCATGGCTGGCTCAGGAATTCTGGGAGTTGAAGTCCATGAGTCATAAAAGAGCCAAGGTTGCCTACCCCTGGTCTAGACGAGTGCCTGCAGTTTTCGTGGCAGGTTTTTAGAATGGTTTGCCGTTGCCTTCTAAAGTGACTGACCTAAGTCCCCTCACTGGTTTTGTGCCTAAAGCAGGAAGAGAATTTAATAGCCTTCCAGTTTCTAGCCTGATGCCTTAACGGCCATACCAACCTGTTTAAATTCAAAACATGCATTCTTCACTGAGCTTTGAGGTATGGAAAAATGAAAAGTTATCAATCAGTTGACAAATGTTAGTGCTTCCACTATGGCAGTGGTTCTCAACCTGTGGGTCGGGACCCCATTTGGGGTCGAACGATCATTTCACGGGGGCCGCCAAACAAGGCTGTCCGCCATTTTTTCCCCCTTTTCTTTGGCCACGCCCCTGGCACCCGGTGATGTATAAGTGGTTGGGGGTCACCACAACATGGGGAACTGTATTATGGGGTCACGGCATTAGAAAGGTTGAGAACCACTGCACTATGGCATGTGATGAAATATATGTTGCATACTACCCAGTTCTCAGTTATTGGCCCATTTAAAACCCTTAGAGCAGTGGTACATAAAGTAACACATTAAAGGAAAGTATAACAACAAAAAATGTCATCACAATAGATTGTGTAAAACATGCGAAGGTGAAGTTTCACTGAATGTGACGCTATGAATTCTCAATAAGTATCTATAAATCTTAGAGAATTCATCAACAATAAATATCGGCATTTATGTTATGGGAACGATAACCTCAGATAAGTCCTACATGGAAAGACTTAAGGGCTCTTCCCCACAACCTGCTAATCACAGACAGAAATCTATTTTTAAATGATTACAGAAGGCTTGTCCAGATAATGTTGGGCTGCCCTCAGCAGACGTACCAAGAAGGCAGCCTGAACCCATCTTCCTGATCCAGTTTTAAAGTGATATTTGCCAGTTTCTTCCGACATAAACCGGAATGGAAGGGGTTTGTATCAAGATAAAGTTAGGGGCAGGACGCCTGTGCGACCCTAGCCATTAGTCACCGACTTTTCTGTGGGAGGGATTTGTGGATGGGAAAACATGGGCTCTCTTGCCGTGCCAAAAAGCCACCTTTCCCACCTCTTTTGCCAAACCACAGATGATGGGAAAAGCAAGAAAACGAAGGAAAGTAGCTTTTTTGTGCCAAAAGAGACTCTATCCCTGTTTTCCTTCCCCAAGGGGAAGACACTGGAGTAGAAGCAACTCTGCAGTTAGCTCCCTGCTACTTACAAGCTTAGGAAGGAAGGAAAAGTGGCGGGGACGAGGGAAGAGAGAGTGGAAATAAAACTGCTTCCTTTCCTTCTCTCCCATTGCTTCTTCTCACACCCATGAGAAGGATGATACTTTCGCTGCCAGATTTCCAATCTCACAGATTTGTTACTTCTGGACTCATCTACTCCTCTCCTTTGCTTTTCATGTCATGGAGGACAGGAGGAGGAGGAGGGGGGAGGAGGAGGGGGGGAGGAGGAGGATGATCTCTACTTCCATGGAGAGCTCACTCTATGAGATCACCAAGCTGACAGTCCTGGAGTCTTCTGCTGCCAGCAGCTGACACTGAAGAAGGTATTCCCCATTCAGTCTCCTCCCTGTCTTTCTTCTGCCTTGTTGCTAAGGCAGAGAAGGAGGTGGAACTGAGGTCAGCCCTTCTTTAGGCCAGCATATATTTCTGACAGTCCTGTTTTGGATGGCAGCACTTCGTTGCCGCCATGAGGAAGAGCCCCCAGATAAGAAAATGATATCATCTCAGCAGATAGGAAAACTAAAGTGCGGGGTAATTAAAGCCAGGCTGAATAACAAGGACAGAAGAAGCAGGAAGCAGGTCAGTGAGGTGCAAGTCTAAGGAAGAGACTCTTCATACAACGTGCCAGAGAGTCAAATGGTAAACATTTTTACCAGATCTAGATCGTATGTCTTCTGTGATTATAAATTGACAGACATTATGAAGATAGCTCTCATATGCTGAAGTAACTGATCAGATTTTCTCCCCGGCCTTTAACAATGCACTACACTAATCCACTGGATTAGCTGAGTAACAAAATAACTGCAAAAAAAGAGCATGGGTGCCCTTAAATTCTTAGCCCATCAATGAAAACATCCTTGTCAGTTAACCACTACATCGTAACAGATAGGAAGTTGACAGGACCAGATGGAGACATTATTCATAGCATTCAAATGAATTCATGGTCCTTTTACCATCCACTTCATGCTTCCATCCCACACCCTTCTCTTAACCTTGTTGTCATTCGCTCAACCACTACTCGACATCTCTGGCCACCCTCCCTCCCTCTTCAGCCTGGACCTACTGTCTGGAAGTTTGAGGACCCGCTCTCCCAGACTGTGGAAGAACAGGTGACGCATGGCCTCATCTGCAGAGATCCGCTTCCTGCCCTCAAACTGCATTTGGGGAAGAGAAAATAGAAAATAGTGATTAGATGAAGGCTGCTAATGGCGTCTAGCTTTTTGCTCCTAATACAAAAGCATTTTTTCCCAAAAGGGAGCCTAACCATTTAGTTATCACATTGTTGGTGTCATAGGTTAAACTGTGTCCCCCAATCTCCAAAAAGGAAATAGTGTTAAAAATTCCCTCACAACATCAAAACACAACTACTCAGATATCTGTATCTCCTCCTCCCAATGTTTATGACAAGAGAAATCTCAGAACAAAACTGAGATGCTGACCCAAGATGCAGGCAATGTGCAAAATGTTTTATTTTTATTTATATCCCACCTTTATTATTTTTACAATAACTCAAGATGGTGAACATAATTCAATACACCTTCCTCCTCCTATTTCCCCCACAATAACCTTGTGAGGTGAATTGAGCTGATAGAGTAGACCAAGGTCACCCAGCTGGCTATCATGGCTAAGGAGGCACTTGAAATCAGTCTCCTACTTTCTAGCTTGGTGCCTTAACAAGTAGACCAAACTGGGTGGAAAAGCCCAAGGATTTTAATTATCTTCAGTTACCAGAATACTGTAAATTATAAAAATATTTCTAATCAAATATCGATCACATATCGCGCAATGTTTTTTAAATACACAGATTTTACACTTCCAGGCTGGTGGCAAACAACCCACAGGAGCTGCCTATGGCAGGCTGTCATCCATGCCTAATGCAGAATATTTGAATTAGTGGAGCAAACGTTTCACCTATTTTGACCAACAGACAAATGAATAAAACCCTGCCAGCAATGACCTGCAGAGCAAGCAGAGGGGCTGAAACACATGGCGTTCAAAAGCTCTTCTACTTCTCAAACTACAGTCACATACCATATTAGCAGGTTCTACACCAGGCATGTCAAACTCGCAATGTCACGTGACGTCGCACAACATATTGCGACTTTTTCCCCATTGCCGGCAATGGGGTGGGCACGGTTTCGTTGTGATGCATCCAGCCCGCGGGCTGGCAGTTTGACATGCCTGTTCTACACTGAGGAATTAAAGCAAACAAAGCAAAATTATTTCTGCAGGAGTACCTGTTCTATGATAGATCCACTCAATGGATGGATCCTTTTTCATGTATTCCACTTTGAAGTTTGTTTTTGTTTGTGCATACGCACATACATGCACACATTCCCCCCCTAAATAACTCTGCAATAGTCCCTGAAGATAAGCACCTTTACTTGAGGTCATCTGAGGTCCGAATTAGTAGCCCATTTTGTCCAGCACATTTATTCTTTGGGGACAACAAGACAATGCTTTCTTTATATGATCTCTATTTGTTAATGAAATTGATTGTTGCCTGCTTGCCGTAGCAGAGAAGATTTTTCCTCTGCTTGAGGATGGGAAAGGAATGTGAGGAGTTTAGGATTCCTAGAAGAGAGGGTCAGAGACCTCTAAACCCTAATTCTCCAACCAGACCAAAATAATAATAATAATAATAATAGCAACAACAACAACAACAGCTCACCTGCAGCAGCTTTCCTAAAAGGTCAACCCCATCATTGTCCAGCCTGCACAATTAGGAGAGAAAAGAAAGGTCAAATTCATAATTTCGCAAGGAGAACTGAGGCTTTACTTCCTGGGATTGTTACTCTCTGACACTGATGCTGCTATCCAATGTCTTTCCAACAACTGAAGATGTAAAATACTTCATGTCCCTAAGTCAAATATTAATTTGGAACTGCACCAAAGAGTCATCGATGTTTCTTCCACCTTTGGGAGCCAAGGCCCAAGCAAAGGTCTTGTTAATACCTCTTTCTTCCCAATAAAGCACAAAGATTTTGGCCAAATGCTCATTCATGCATCCTGAAAAAAATCACACCCCATGTATTTGTGTCTTGCCTGGAATTCAGCAAAGAAAGTACCCCAGGCAAAACTCTTCGCCTGCCTCTCTGGTGAAAAAAAGACCAACTGAACTGGAAATACCTTCAGTACAAGATCAAAGGAGGATCTTGTACTTTACTCTTTGAACAATCTGAGAGGGAGAAAGCAAGAAAAGCTACCTATGGCTGCACAGTGAGTCCATGTGTCTCTTTTCTTCTTAAAAAAGTCTCTATTCTTTTTTTCCCCCCAAAAAAATAAGGATGCGGATAAAATAGGATCGGGACAGGAATTAAGGTTTAGGGTGGGGTTAGGATCAGGATTGGGATTGGGACAGGGTTGGGGTCAACATTGGGGTTATCCCCCAATAACATTTTCAATCTTTAGCAAACAGACTATTGTCCGGGTACATATGTTCAGTTAACAATAGTTGATATAGTGATAAATAACTGATAATCATAAACAGTATCAGTTAGTCAATGCATATCATTCTTCTTACTAATATATATTCAAAATAACATATCACTTTCATTTCTCACTAGTTCATTTTCCTAACCATTGATAAAAATTATCCCATGTTCTAAAGAAAACTGAATCTTCTTTCTCTTTAATCTCTAAAGTCAATCTATCCATTTCTGCACATTCTAAGATTTTCTTAATTAGAGCCTCTTCATTTGGTAGGTTTTCATTTTTCCAGTATTGGGCGAATACTATTCTCACTGCTGTCAGTACATGCAGTATTAAGTATTCATTCTCCTTCTCATAATTAGATCCTAATATTCCTAACAAAAACAGTTCTGGTTTAAATTCTATCTGTCTTTTAATCATCTTTTCCAACCACGTATGTATCTTAACCCAAAACTTTTTTGCTTTAAGACATGTCTACCAGATATGATAATAAGTACCTGGCCTTTGTTTACATTTCCAGCAATTATTCGAAGTATTTTTAAACATTTTCGCTAATCTTACTGGTGTCAAATGCCATCTATAAAACATTTTATACAAATTTTCTTTATATGAGACTGCTTAGTCAATTTAATATTTCTATCCCAAGAAGTCTCTATTCTTTTTTTTTTAATATTTTATTAAGTTTATATAAATAAAAAAAAATAGGAACAATACAGGTATGGGAGGGGAAAGGGGTGGGGGATTTAGGATGGAATGGAGATAGGTACAATATATCACGTACTTTAACAAACAAGCTACCGTCCAGATCATAATAATGAATAAGTATCATACTCAGCCATTTTAGAATAAGGTTGACTATAACCATAATGCTAACAATTAATAAACAGATAAATTCATCTATGTAAATAAACATGAGTAATAAAATCTCAACTAGTCATAATTATCAACGTTAACGGTTAAAAACCACTAAATTATTAAGAATAAAGATGTTATCAACCTATAAACTATAACTCAATTAAAAATCCATCATCTATTCTGAAATATTAAATTCTTTTCAGATTCTAATACGTCTCTAACCATTGATAAAAATTTTCCCAAGTTTTAAAATAAACTGAATCATCTTTCTCTTTCATCTCCAATGTTAATGTATCCATTTCTGCACAATCTAAAATTTTAGTAATTATAACCTGGTCAGATGGTAGATTTTCATTTTTCCAAAGTTGGGCAAATACTATCCTTGCCGCTGTTAAAACATGTAATATCAAATAGTCGTTCTCTTTACCATAATTAGGTCTTAATATTCTTAGCAAAAACAATTCTCGTTTAAATTCTATCTGTATTTTCATCATCTTTTCCAACCATCTATAAATCTTAAGCCTATACTTCTTAGCATTAGGACATACCCACCCATCAAAAGCTACCACATCTGAACTACAGGCTGACACTCACCTAGGGGCATGGTTGATCAGGGCCTCCGAACGGTATTTGGGGTAATTATACGCTCGGAATTCTTCATTGGACAGGATTCCAGGCCATGTCTCTTCATTGGGTGTCCCTGGCAACAGAGAGAAGAAGCAGAATTCTGAAAAGGAGTAAAAAAAGTGACTTCCAATGTCCATGTCACATGACAGCAGCAAACAAGATGAGAAACAAGATCATTTCAGCAGCATGGCCAAGACCCAAGACTCTCCTTCTCCTGGATAGCTTTTGACCTAGCTGATAGGAATGGGTTTTCCCCCCATCTTTGTTCCAGTTCCCTTCCTTCTTCTGTATTGTGTCTTTTAAATTCCAAGTGAGACCAGAGACACATTTTTTAAGCGACAGATAGGCTGATCTGGGAGTGTTTTTAAAAATGTGCTTTGTCTTTGATCAACTTATGGCATGAAATTATAGATCAACCTGTCTGATGGTCTACATTTCCTCTGCCTCCCATTTCTCCATTGATTTCTCAGCAATGCAACTCTGGCAGATATTTACCCAATATCCGAAAAATGAAATGCAGCTGCTCCTCAACTGTGGAGCCTGGGAAGAGCGGCCGCCCTGTGGACATCTCATAGAAAATGCAGCCCACACCCCTGTGGAGAAAAGAGGCAGATGTCATTATCAGCCCAAGAAAATAGGAAGGACTGTAACTTTGTGCTATCAGTTAAAGTTCCTAATTCTTATATCTTATCTCTGTAGTGACAATTCAAAAAAATCTCTTGTAGACCAACAAAACATTTCTATTACCAGATTTTGCTAATCAGCCAATGATTCTGATATTGGAAACTATCTTTTTAAAAATCAAAAATTTGCCTTACAATATATAATAGTCTGTATCAAAAAGGGGGGATGGGGTAAATCTATTTGTACATTCTGCTAAAAGAGAGTTAAGGCAATTAAGGTGTCTAATGACCAATATGTGGTGGCTCACAAGTTTAGAACCCTGGGCTGATGATCGGCAGCCTTGCGTTCAAAACCCGTTGCTGCCGTTGGGAGTGGGGGGGGGGGGTTGAGCTCCCGTCACATGCCCCAGGACCTGCCAGCCCAGCAGTTCGAAAGCAGGCAACTGCAAGTAGTTTAATGGGTACCACTTCAATGGACAACTTCATGGGGGTACAAAAGGAGCCCCCAACTGGGTGTCCCCCCAGGCAAGTGATGTCTCCAGCAAATCCTTTAGCCACAGGAGCACTTAAGTGCTTCCAACACTGAAAAATAACCCCAATTATGTGGAATTTTGAAAACATCCAAAAATATACTTAGGATTTTAAATAGATCATTGAATTCATCTCTACAAAGTCAATCCCTGCTCCTTGAGGAATGCAGTAGAGGCGTTCTAGAGAATGTATGCACTGCTCACCAGCAAAGACCATGCTGACAGAACCAGTGAGCCTCAAATTATCGTCCTCAGAACATTAAATATTATCATCTATATCAGTGGTTGTCAACCTTTTTAAGGCCGCGACCCCCAACCGGTCGTAAGTCGAGGACTAAACCGGTCGTAAGTCAAGGACTACCCAAGCGGTCGTAAGTCGAGGACTTTCCCTGCCCGGGAGCGCCGCGCATGCATGGTGCCGCCCCGTGCTGGCCGAGGCGTAGCTGGCAAGTGGCAGAGACGGAGCAGGCCGACCACTGGCTGGGCCACCAGCTGGCCCAGCCCAAGGGAAGTAAGGCACCCGCCGGAAAAGGGGAAAAAAAATGGCAGACAGCCTTGCTTGGCGACCCCCATGAAATGGTCGATCGACCCCAAATGGGGTCACGACCCATAGGTTGAGAACCGCTGATCTATATATTACGGAAAATATCAGTACAGGTGGATAAGTTGATTTGTCTGCCGGGAAGAGCCTCTGCTTTATAGAACTGATACTATGCTCCCTGAGAGTCCCACAATACAGTTTAAAAACCACTAGAGGTAGCCCTCTAGTAATGGGGATTTCAGCCCCCCTGAGATGGGGATTTCTGTCAGTAAGCAGTGTGATCCCAAAGAGCGTCATCATGTGAATGTACTGCTTAGTGACAGAAATTCTGGCATTTCTGCTTGCCATCATTAAGCAAATCACTGAGCGTTGTTAGGTGAGGATAACACACGGTTTCCCCCTTGACTTTACTTGGAAGAAGTTGGTGGAAAGGGTCACAAATGGTGATCAGGTGACCGTGGGACACTGCAATGTCATAACTGTGAGCCGAGCAACCATGGACTCAGATCGCAAAGACACTGTGAACAACATAAGTACAAAGACCGGTCATTAAGTACCACTTGTTCAATGTCATCATAATTTGGCACGGTCACTGAATGAATGGTTGTTAAGCAAGGACCACTTGTACTGTATTGCAGGAGGAGTTGATTGGAATTGGGGAGACCCAAATTGAAGATAGTTACTTTAGGGGACCAGCATCTGTGCATTTAGCACCTCCCTCTAGCTTCAGTCCTCTTTTTCTGTTCTATAGCAATTTCCTTCCTGAGCTTTAAGTGGCCTAGAGCAGAGGTCCCCAACCTTTTGGACACCAGGGACCAGTTCCATGGAGAGAGGTTTTTCCACGGACCAGAGAGTGTGTGGTTTTGTGTGCTGCCTGCATCCTGCAGACGGGGCCTTCCTTGTTTGTGTGGACCGGTTGCTGGCATGCCACAGCCCGGTACTGGTCCACAGACCGGGGGTTGGGGACCCCTGGCCTAAAGTGTATGTTTATTAATGGACAAGGCACAGAGCCTCAGTTCTGCATACAAACCAGGAAGAACAAAGACTGGACCTTTTCAAAGATGATGGGAAAAAACGCAAGACATATTTTCCGAAAACGTCTAATTAACTAAATTAATTATTTCATGGTATTTTTTTTTAAAAAAAAAAATTAGGAATACTTTTTGAACTGGGTATCAAAAAAGTGGGATTCAGTGGGTATCACTGAATTGAGTGTCCTATAGTGTCCAAATGAAACCGTTACACTAGGGAATTTTTTTTTTTTTAAAGAACTTTCAGGGAGTCAGATAGAAGAATCTGTACCACATATCAATCTGGGTGGAATATTCTGTCGAGCCCAGCAGAATATCAGGCGGTCGGTACCAAAGTGTTACCACCTCGTTGGAATAGGTCTTGGTGGGGATAGATTTTGCCCGGGCTAGTCCTGTAAAACATAGAAGTGTATTTGCAAAACCTTCCACAGAGCAGAAAATAAGATTTGAGCGGTCCCAGCCTCCTCCTCCTCCTCCTCCTCCTCTTCCCCCTCCCCGTCCTTCTTTTTAAAAACAATGTTACAGCTGATAGAATTGTACCAGGGAAATTTGGCAATGTATTGCCAAACATTGGAAGTGTGATGGGAATGAAAATATCTGGTTCAATCCTCATATCGCTCCTACCCTTGAGGCCATCAGTTACCAAGAATAGGAGCATGTCAGCCCATAGATTGCTGGGATATAGATCAAAAAAGGGGATTTGATAATAGTCACCAAAATCTGCTAGTTTGAGCTCCCCTCTCTCATTAATAAGCAAATTCTGGGGCTTCAAGTCTCGATGCAGCACCTTCTGACGGTGACAGTAGGCTAGGCCACGTAGCAGCTGGAACAGGAACAACTAGAAGAGGGAACAAAGCCATCTAAGTGAATTCTTCTAGGCAAACACAACTTCCTGCCATTCACAGTATAGTTCATACTGCGTATCTTTTAATGTTCTTACAAACAGACACTTATATACAATAATCGATCTGTACAAGTTGCTTTCTTTTCCTAATATACTTCCAAATCACACAGCGGTGTCACATCCATAACCAAGACAGCATGAAGGGTAAAATACAGGTAATCAGTCCCCAGTTTAAGAACAAGTTCTGTTCCCAAGATCTGACCTTGAGTTGAATTTGCATGTAAACCAGAACCAGTTATTATTGTATAATGCCGTAATAATGTGTATTGAGCTTGAAACATTGTGTACAGATAGTCCTCAACTTACAACAGTTTGTTTAGTGACCATTCCAAGTTACAACGGCATTGAAAAATGTGACTTGTGACCGTTTTTCATAGTTACGGCTTTTGCAGCATCCTCATGATCACGTGATCAAAATTCAGATGCTTGGCCATTGGTTCATACTGATGACCTTTGCTGTGTCCTGGGGGTCATTCTGACAAGCAAAGTCAATGGGGAAGCCAGAGTCCCTTCACAACTGGGTTACTAACTTATCAACTGCAGTGATTCATTTAACAACGTTGGCAAGGAAAGTCGTAAACTGGGGCAAAACTTACTTAACAAATGTCTCACTTAACCACAGAAATTTTGGTCTCAATTGCGGTCGTAAGTCGAGGACTACCTGTATTGAACTTGAATTTTGCTACAATACGCTCTGTACTTAACAAAGGGTCATCCTTAAACTGAGGCATTCTTAACTTGGAGATTGGCTGTATATAGCTAAAGAATGGCGGGGGAGGGGAATCTCTTTACTGGGCATCACGGCTTGTGATCATTTAGGGAATGTGAAACTCCAAAAGCACATTTCGTACATTTAATATAGGAAATGTCCAATAGCAGATACATTTGAGTCCAGAATTTGCACCATGATACATTCAATTCTTCTCACATCTGACAGGGGATCCATAACATATCGGTTTGGATTGCAGTCACTTGGACATACATTTACAGATGATATTTTAGGCCCTGAATACATGGGACTGGGACACTCTATTCCTTTAATACCATTAAATGGAGATAGAAAAAAAATGTCAAGATGGGATTATGGGAGTAGCTTGGGAAATCCTGATACAGTACATCTTTTACTTTTCAGTAAAGCATTAACAATATTATCTGGAACATTTGACTTAATGTGATGGTCTTTTTTTCTACAATGGAGGGAGGTTATTCATAATTGCTTCTCCCATTCACTTCAGCAGACAGGAACAAATATTCTTTGATGCCCCTATATATGGAGAGAGCAATCTCCAAGCCTGATATAATTACTGAACATGAGAATTCCAAGATTAGTAAGAAGGCAAAATAAAAAAACCTGCTGTTTACAAGGAACTGGACATGGAAGAGTTGAATACTCTTTATCAACTGTAGGGAAAAAAAGTTTGACAGCCCAATGTTGCTTTTTCCAGAGGGGAGAAGGATATCCACAGCTGGAATCTACCAAAACATTTCCAAAAATGGCAGGAGAAATCTCTTCTGTCTGTCTGACTATCATATATGTATCCAAATTGTAATGTTGCACAATGGAAGAGATGAATGACCATGCAGCTGCCTTAGTAATGTCTAACAAGACAACATTAGGGACAAGGGCTACAGTATAGAAATGGCTGCAATCTTAGTAGAACAGACTGTGGCCCTGACCAACACAGTAGCAGAGCAGCACTTAAAGAACTATGCACACCAAGATTCACCTGCAGAGAATTGCAAACAATTACTCTGTGCCACAGCAATGGCTGTTGAAATAAAACAATATGAAACCCAAAAGATAAATCTTGACAGTTTGCCACCTCTAGCTTATGCTAGTTAACCTAGCCCAAATAAAAGTTGGCACAACTCCTATGTGTGCTGAAAACATGTATTTATGTATAAATGAAGATCTTGGGCATACCTAAGGTCCATTAGGCATAAAGGATAACCTTAAGTAGGTATAGATCAGTGGTTCTTAACCTGGGCAATATCGCCCCCCAGGGGTGATTTCATTTTTCAGGGGGGCGATGGAATGAAAAGGGGCGACGCGGGGGCGAAAGAACGAAAAGGGGGCGATATGGGGGCGATGGAGTGAGAAGTTTTGGGACACTTTTGAGACTTTTTCGTACAGTGAATTGCTGTATATCTGTCGTACAAAAACATCAGATCGCTCGCTATTAGTGGATTGAATTGTGTTTTCAAATGTTCCTCCAGCTAGCTTCAGTACAGAACGCCGTACATATGTGAAGACGCATCGCTTATCTTCATGCGCGTTGTGCAGCAGCCTCTACAGTGGCGCACCATTGGCCAGAATATGGGAGATATGGGAAAAAGACTGGAAATAAATTATTTGCATTGATATGTCCTGATGACAATTTTAAAGAAAACAAAAAAAGTGTTTGCATAAATTGAAGAATTATTTCCTATGTTGTGATTGAGAGGCTATGTTGGGGGAGGGGGGCGATGACAACTTCCTCATTGGCTCAAGGCGGCGATTCATTCAAAAAGATTAAGAACACTGGTATAGATGATGAAATGGTTCAGGGCACAGACAAAATGATATGTGGCACTGCAATACAACAGGTTGAAATAATGGCAGTTAATTATTCTGAACAGTGATAGAAAAAATGGGAAGCATAAAACAGGCCTGCAGGCCACCCAAAACTTAACATGCCTTCCAAGGCTGCTGCCCGTGTGGAGAATCAAAAGAAATAATTCAGTTTTCTGCTGGCGACATGAAGAGAGGTTTTCCCAAACTTCATAGTGATTCTTACCTAAGATCAATTGGACAATCAAACCAATCAGCCATCAGTGGAAAAGACTTTGTATGTGTGCCACCAAAATGGAAATCAGATGCCACCACTGACATCATAATTTGGAGATCTAATTGCTTCATTCAGGTCAGATATGCACACAGACTGTGGTGTCTTCTGCCAGGAGCATGTGATAATGGTATAGACGATGAGTGAAGCTAAGCAGAGCCAGATGAAGGGCCTCAAACTCCAGAAAGTTGATAAGGAAGAAGCAATAACCCCTCAGCTGATCTAGCTGGTTACTACTGTTAGAGGAGAGCATAAGCAGAAAGTTTTTTCCTGTTGAAATCTTGGAGATATTCACTTAGGAAAATGCGGTCAGGCAGTGATTTTCATTACCTCACAACTATTTCCCTCAGAAATGGCAAAAGTTCCAAGAAGGATACACAAGAGTGATCCTTCATCTATGCCTACAACAATGATTTCCTAGAGATGAGCTAGAATTAGCACGTTAACAGCATCTGACAAGGCTCTACAATTTATCTCCCCTGTTCTTTGAAATACAGGCTGTAGTTAAATTTTTAATACTGTACCAAAGTGCAAAATGAGCAGGAAAAAGCTGTGTCTTTCTAGGTTGCCTCATAGCTCCAGACTGATCAGACACAAAGTCATTGTCTCAGCAGATGCTAAAACAGACCTCATGAAAAAATCATCTAGGTAAAAGATAAACACGGATTCCCCAATCCCACAGAAACATCCCCAATGTAAACAGTGAATGTTTTAGGAACTAACATCAAGCTGAAGGAGAAAAATATCTTGAAAGCAGCTCTCCAAACATTTTAACCAGAGGAACTGGTGGTGAGAGGGGTGGATCAAAATATGCAGACAGGCCTCCTGAAGGTCCAGGGAAATCAGAATGTTTCAGCCTATGAGACATTCCATGATTCACTCACTTCTAGTATTATTCTCCTCCCCATCTCTTCTTCCTGGGAATCACAACTTATATATAGTAGCACTTGAGGCTCTTTCAGCAGGTGGGAACGATTCAGTGGCCTTGATGGCCAGAAAAAGATCTATCACCCTTAGTATTTGACAATCCCTCTGATTTCAAACCTGAGGAAAGACTTGAACAAATCACACAGTATAATTTGGAAGAGAATGAAATAATTCTGCTGCCTGTGCAAAGCACTCAAGAGTCTGATGCTGTGGACCAACAGAGCCCATCTTTTACAAGTATTACTATAAAATCACTGTTGCTATCATTGCTATTTGTGAGTCCCTTTGCAAAAATGTGTACAATAGATCCTTCTAAAACGAAAATGGGAAGGTTATCGTTTCAACTGCATGAGAGTCTAGATTCCAAATTGAACAGGGAAGGGCCCAAAAATGTATCCCTGGGGTTTTCACTAACTTTTCACCTAGATGAGCCTAGGGAGTCTTCATTTCTTCCTTAGTTTCTATCAGAACTTTAAGAAATCCTCCAATGACTTACAACGTTTAAAGCTGCTAGGGATAAGAACAAACTTGGATTTAGTACCTACATTCCAAAATGTTAACTTGCAAATGTCCACACCTTGTGGCATGGCCTTAGTTGAGAATTATAGTATGTCAAGGCTGAAATCTGCCATGAAAGTAGCTCTACTGCCCAGATAATCAACCTCCTGCATATTGCAACTAATTCCAAATAAGGTAAAAGAAGTTGCTTAGGCTACAAGATAGAGGCCATAGCAATTGAGGCATTGGCTTCTTTTATGTCAAGACATTTGATCACATTTAAGAAAAAACACTGTTGCATATCCTATTGGGATGAAGGAGGTTTTCTCCAGCCTGAAACCAATGGATTATTGGAGCATCCATTGAAAGAATCTTTAAGGGTTTCATGAGATAGTGATGTCTTGTCACTGTTGGTAATTTTTTTCTGAGTGAAACTTATTTGGTTTTCATGACCAGCTTGATCAATTACTGAGAAGCCCTTAAAAATTAGCCTCTTATTGACATCCTTGGTCAAAAGTGAAAACTCCGTGCAAGAAAAAAAAGGCTCTGAATAAGCTGTTATTTTGTTGTCTTCTTCAGCTAAAGGTTCTCCAGCTTCCCTATTAGAGAAAAAGGATGGAACTGATTCGCATGAAGCAGCAAGACATTCTACTACCTGTCAAACACCAGAGAAATCAGGACATTCAGGCAGTTCAGATGAGTTATAAAGATGTATTGCAAGCTTAAGCTCTCTACCAACAATCTGAACTACTAAAGGTCAAGGGGATTTAGCAGGAGTTAAGAAAGGAATTCAAGGTGGACTAGATTTAGATCTTTGGTGGGTGTGCAGGGACTCATAGCTGATGGCACGTTTGATCCCTCCCTCGTCATCTCCTACCCTCTCAGTCTTTCAGGTGAGGCCGTTTGCAGTTTTGCCCAGATGCCTCGGATTAAGCAAAGAGGGAGAAGACCCCTTTAGAAAGACCGGGGTCACTAATGAAACAACTGTTTAAGACAACAGCTCCTGCACACCGTGTTACCCATAAAAAGTGGAGGCAGCTGAGCAAGAGGAAGTTTCCTGATTTCTCTTCCAACCATCTGTGATGTGACTATGAGGTGAACTTTGAGGGGATCAGGACTTGCATTTCAGAACCCAGAGAGGATGAGAGGAGCAAAGCATTATAGGATGACATGCCTAATCCAACTTCATATTCCAGGTGGAGGGAGCACTCCCCCAAGCATTAATAGTGGAGAATCAGTGGTCATCCACTACTGTCCTTAGGAGGTGTGAACGTGTATTTCATGCCCTGAAAAACGCTAGGCACCAATATCTGTTGACAGTGGCACTCCAGTGAATGTTGGTTGCAACCAGAGTGAATAGTCATTCCTCCTGCAAAAGTAGCAAGGCAGAGCCCTGAGATAAATGATCTTTAACTCCAGAGTAGCATACGTGAATAATCCAGCAAGAGCTCCCTGAGAAATGGAGCAAGAAGGACCAGAAAACCAGCCTGGAGGTTGCTCTCTCTCCCCCCCCCCATAGGGAAAGCAAGGAATTTGCAGCCCTGCCTGTTGAAAGGAGTGGAAGGCAGGAAGCCAACTAAGGATATTCTCCTCCATCACAAGAAAACACATCGGATCTCCCACTGGAATCTGGAACTAATCTCAGACTTTGCTGGCACTGTAGGCAATTCTTCTATCACTGAAGAAGCTGAAGCAATCGCTGAAAGGAAAGGGTCAGCCACGTTAAAAATTAACTCTTACCTTCACATTGTGCATATTTATTACGTTCCCGCAATCATCTAGATACTGTTTGAGGTCTTTATCCTGTGAAAGAGAAGGACAGGATCTTATCCCTGAGACAGTTAATGTTTCAACAAGATAATATTTAACTTAATGTTTCAACAAGATAATATCTCAAAGATGGCCACAAAGAAGAGGGAGTCAAGCTATTTTCCAAAGCGCCTGAAGGCAGGACAAGAAGCAACGGATGGAAATTAATCCAGGAGAGAAGCAACCTAGAACTAAGGAGAAACCTCCTGACAGTTAGAACAATTAACCAGTGGAACAACCTGCCTCCAGAAGCGGTGAATGGTCCAACACTGGAAGTTTTTAAGAAGAGACTGGACAGCCATTTGTCCGAAATGGTATAGGGTTTCCTGCCTGAGCAGGGGGTTGGACTAGATGACCTTCCAGCTTTATTACTATTACTATATTGTTCAACAATTAAATCAGAGGGTCTGAATGCTGGCTAAGCAAACACAGACTGATAGACCCAGCTTTATAGCTGGAAGATGCCTTGCATATTGTTCCCGCTCCTCTCAAGACATAATGGACCAATACACCAATCTGAGAACCCCAAGCATTCACCTCCGCCTCAACAATATTCCAGCCTGAGAAGCTTGAATTGGAGCGAGATGGAGGCTGAATCAGATACTCCATGCCAGCTGGTTCCCAGGCTGACTCACCTTAATGAGGGCATGTGCAAGGAGTGGAATGAGCTTGGTTGGGCACTATGGTGATTCCCCCTATACAGGCAATTGGATTAGAAAAAAATGAAGCATGGGATTTGATGGAAGCTGGTCCCTGATTCAATTCTTTCGTCACAGCTCCACCAAGAAGCATTGACCAGCAAGCATTACAAGCCACTTATCCTTCCGCCCGGAAATTTCCCACGTGAAGCAGGGAAGCAACCACAGAGATCTACAATATACACTTGTTTTATTTAGAGATCAAATATATGAAACACTTCTTAGGAGGAGGAGTTATCGTGACATTTATTAAGCTTTTGAAAATTAACCTTTGAGAACCACTATAGGTTCCACCCAAGCTACATTTCCTGCTAATTGGCTGTTCCAAAAACATGCAGAGAATTCCCTCGAGAGTACTTGAACTCTCCCAGAAAACTACGATTCCCAGAAGTCTTCAGAAGGATGTCTCTACTGCCCGAAGTTTAAAAATCATCATTTTTTCTCAAACCAAAGTGGCAGCTTGCTAATAAGGAAAGAAGACGGCGACTCTTAATTTTCTGAATCTTACTGAGAACCGGATTTTCACACAGAAAGAAAGTTGTGTTCCTGTTTATTGCATTCCCTCCCCTCCTCCACATACTCACTAAATACTCGAAGACAAGAGTCAGGGATTTCTCTGTATGGATGATATCATGCAGGGTCACTATATTGGCATGTTTCAAATCTTTTAGAAGTGAAACTGTAAGAGAGAGAGAGATGGGAGACATGAGATCTACATCGCAAACACTTCTAATGCAATCAGTACCAAATATGAGGCTTTGAGAGAGTTATTTGAACATAACATAAAAGAATTCCTGTGAGCCCAAAACATACTTAAGGAGCTATCTGTTGCAATGCTCTAAAGCAGGGGTGTCAAACTGCCGGATGCATCATAGCAAAACCGTGCCCACCCCATTGCCGGCAATGGCAAAAAAAAGTCGCAATACTTTGCGACATGTCATGTGATTTGACACCCCTGCTCTAAAGTAGATATAACTGCAGGTGTGCTTAGCTATATAAATTGACCCTTTTGCCTTCCTGCTATCATAATCTTCTTTCTTTCCTCCTGATGCAGATAAAAAGGGAGGGAGATCTGTCTTCATAAATTGTTTTATAGGGCCACTGAGACTGGAGGGGTTTAGGGAAGAATGGTCAGGATGAAAGGGTTGCATCCATCTGCTGAGAGCCTGCTGAAGCTCAACAGAGAATTTGCTAAGCAGTGTACCCGTTGGCTTGCTTCTTTGCTCTTTCATTTCTTCACGTGACTGTATGCCTAAGCACTTTTACTTTTTAACAGTTTGAGAATCAGTTGCCCTGGGTGTCAACATCTGCCTTAGTTGCATTAGAAAATGTAGGGTCCTGCTGACAGCCTAGCAATACATCTCTTGCGTGTTGGCAGAAAGACTGCAGCCAATTCTGAATACAGGTAGTCCTCAACTTATGACCACAATTGAGCCCAAAATTTCTGTTGCTAAGCGAGACATCTGTGAAGTAAGCTTTGCCCCCATTTTGCGACTTTTCTTGCCACAGTTGTTAAGTGAAACACTGATTTAGAAAGAGTCATACTTCACTCAGTATCAAGGATGCAGCTGTGGAGGTGGTCAACAGTATTAAGTATCTGGGGGTGCAGATAACTAACAATCTGAATTGGTCTCTCCACCCGTCATCCTTAGTGAAGCATGCAAACCACCGCCTGCATTTCCTGCGTCGGACGGGGAGAACGCATCTCTCTCCTTCTGTCCTGGCCACTTTTTACAGAGGCACGATTGAAAGCACTTTTAACAAACTGCATCACTGTCTGGTTTGGTGGCAGCAGTGCCTCAGATAGAAGGTCCATACAGAGAGTGGTAAGGACAGCTGGGAAAATCATAGGAAGCTCGCTCCCTGGTATTCAGGATGCTGCTTATAAGCGCTATGTGCTTAGAGCTCAGAGCATTGTTAGAGACCCCCACAGACCTACTTTACAGTCTGTTTCTGTTGCTCCCCTCTGGGAGGAGGTTTCGGAGTATTTCTAGCAGGACTACCCGATTCTGTACTAGCTTTCTCCCCTATGCCATCCGTCCGGTAAACTTGCAAGATTCGTTTTTCTCGCCATGCACATGTATACATAATCCGAACTAGACTGTGTAGTCTCTCTGTGTCACATATGTGGGTATATGCATAATTCTGTATTTATTTATTTATTTCTGTCATATTTATGTAGTGTATATCGGAGGTGGTGATCCTTTGAGAGCTGTATGCAACGAAATTTTATTTTAATGTATGCCGACTAGTGTACATTCAAAGTGACAATAAAGTTATTCTATTCTATTCTATTCTATTCTATTCTATTCTATTCTATTCTATTCTATTCTATTCTATTCTATTCTATTCTGTTGTTAAGTTAATAACATGGTTGTTAAGTAAATCTGGCTTCCTATTGACTTTGCTTGTCAAAAGGTCACAAAAGGTAATCACATGACTCTGGGGACACTGCAACTGTCATAAATATGAGTCAGTTGCCAAGCATCTGAATTTTGATCACATGACCCTGGGGATGCTGCAACAGTGAAAAAACGGTCACAGGTCACTTTTTTCAGTGCCGTTGTAACTTTGAATGGTCACTAAACGAACTATTTGAGGACTACATGTATATGAGTATTACATGAAAAGTAATGTTCTGCTTCTATGAATAAAGCAGGAAAATGATCCCTGAAATAAATTCTTTTGTTACTTGAGTTTACAGAACCATTTGCTACCCACCTCTGCCAATGATGGACAAGCTTCTTAAAACTGTCACAAAGGAACGCCACACTTTGTCCTGACAATCCTTTCTACTTGTTGAGTCAAGATGCCCATGAAGGTAGTCCTTTAATTTAATATGGGGAAAGGTGGAAGTTTTATGATACCAACTCTTACTGTATGGTGGATGGGGATAAAACGTGACAGCAACTGACTCTTGAGTGGCTCTTGAGGTATAAGGTCTAGCGCTGTCACGTGGCTGCAAAATTTCCTTCTTCTACTTTTGAACTCTCCTGAGCTGTTGTTCCAAAGTTTTGAGTGCTACAATGTAGCACTCTGAATAAATAATACTACCCGATTCGAGAAAATGCACGAAAATACCACCATCCCCATTTCCCAAAAACTGGAACTATGAGTTTTCCTGCCAAACCCGGGTTGAATTTCTCCCCCCCCCCCAAAGATGAAATTATGTGATGATCTTCCATGGCTTCATTTCTGGGTCATAATTGTGAGCCCATGTTTCTTCAGCTATTGTGATGCTGTGACGAAATTCCCCACCTTCATTCTCATTGTGTGGCAATGTTATAGAATGTGCACCTGGAGAAAAAGAGGTGTGTGTGTGTGTGTGTGTGTGTGTCTGTGTCTGTGTCTGTGTGTGTGTGTGTGTGTGTCAGCGTGTGTCAGCAGCACCACAGTTTCCCAGGGAGGAGGCAGTACATTCCAGAAGAAGCTCAAATTAAGAGACTGCACAATGCCAAGCTGGATGAGGGCGGGAGGAAGAAGTTTGGGGTAAGGTTAGGTTAGAACAGTGATTCTCAACCTTTTTAATGCCGCGACCCCCAACGGGTCGTAAGTCGAGGACTACTCAACTGGTCGTTACGTCGAGGACTACTCAACTGGTGCAGCACCGTTCGCAGAATGGGACTTTTGGTGGGCTCAGCAGGGCAGAGACAGCCTGGACAATTCCTATTGGCTTTTGAAGCCAATAGAATTAGACTCTATTCAAGAGAGTCTATTCTATTGGCTTTCAAAAGCCAATAGAATAAAAGGGAGTAGCACAGCTAAGGAAAAGGGGGGAAAAATGGTGGACTGCATTGTTTGGCGACCCCCCGTGAAATGGTCGTTCGACCCCAAATGGGGTCCCGACCCACAGGTTGAGAACCGCTGGGTTAGAAGGTTATAGATTTAGTCTGGCAAGATTCTGTCCATTAAGTGTAAGCAAGATTTTGCTGTGTTGTCTTTGGGCTTGGGCCTGATAGTCAATTGCTAGCAAATTTCAACTCTTAAAATTTTCATCTCTGCCATCATCATGCAAACAATCCATAATGCACAAATCTTCTGATACGGGTAGGTTCTCGACTTGCAACCATTAGTTTAGTAACTGTTCAAAGTTACGACACTGAAAAAAGTGACATGACTGATTTTCACACTTACGACTGTTTCAACGCCCCCCCCCACGGTCACATGATCAATATTCAGGCACTTGGCAACTGGCATGTATTTATGACAAATGCACTACCCCAGGTTACCATTTGTAACCTTCCCAGCCAGCTTCCAACAAGTAAAGTCAATGAGGGAAGCCAAATTTGCTTAACTGCATGATTCACTTAACAACTGTGGCAAAAAAAGTTGTAAAATGAGGTGCAACTCACTTAAGAACTATTTTGCCTAGCAGCAGAAATTTTAGCCTCAATTATGGTCATAAGTCAAAGACTACCTGTATTGAAGAACATCAATAAGGGGAACCACATGAAACGCCAAGCTTGATTGAAATTTCCCCTTTGATTAATCTGCCAATTGTCCTTAATCAGTTCATCAACTTTTTTGATGTGAAACCTGGCTGTTGTCATAGGTCTGCTTTGTTTTTGATCATACAAATCAGCATTTCTCAATTCACTATCTTTACATTTTCTGGCCCAGCAGCACACAATATTCATGTCAACGCATTCATCACCTACACTCAGCAATGGCAGTCAAAAGTACAGTTCAGCAGGTTGTTTAAAGCCAATACTGACTGTAGGCTTCTATTTCACAAACAGCAACCCAACTTTTCTTCACAGCAACTTCCCGCCAATGAAATGAAAGAAGAGATGCATCAGAGTTTCTAACACATCCGTATTGCCATTGCTGGCAAATGACAATAATTATTATTTTTCATTCAACCCTTGTGGTTGAATGAGATGGAAAGATGAAAATGTCACTTTTAGATCTGTCTCTCTACACATCTAACTCATCCAGACCTTCACCAAATTCCACTGCATTTCTTACTATGAATTTTCTATTGTAAGCTCAATGCCCATCTACAGTAGCCTTCCCTGCTTTGACACACTCTAATGCTCAGGATTCCATGCCAGCAGGACCGTATCTGAAGAATATGGGATTAGAAAAGACTGAAATAAACATTTGGTAAATGACTCCTCTATGTACAGTTATGGCTGTTTGGCTCGTATAAATGCTATACTTTCTTCGCTTTTAAGGTCTACAGATTCTTGTAACCTGCCATTACTTTATAGCTACACCGAGTTCTCAAGGCAGCTTACAAGCAGTGCAATTCTATTATCAAGCCAACCAATTTTCAGGATTCTTTTCTTTCAAATGATACCTTCCCACAGTTTCTGTTAAAAGACAAGATAATACAAGCCCTGAAAGAAGTGGCTATAGGTTTATACCTTCCCGAATGGCTGTGCAAGGGGCGCCCTCTTCATGCTCAAGACGGATCTCCTTCAAGGCCACCAAGTTGTCAGTGAGTTTACTCTTTCCCTTGTAGACAGTGGCATAGGTTCCCTGATGTAGAAGAGGCAGAATTTAGCCCAACATGGTACTTGTAAACCGGCTAAAGTCTCTTAGACAGTGAGATGGGTGGTGTCCAAATTTGATTAAATACTTTTTGATAAATAATTATTCTTTCATTTTCTGTAAGCATCAACCCATCCCTCAGTTCTTGCATTTCACCCCAAGTTTAAGATACAAAACTGCAGCTTCAAAGTGAGAATTATTTCAATGTGTGTCTTCTTTCATTGTCTCTCATTCTCTTTTCTCATCCTCATCCCACCCTGGTGCTCCTTCTAATAATTTCTATCTTCCCAGGCCTAAACTTCCCTAAAACAGGAAAACTATGTCTGAGGTTGTACCGATCAGATAAACTTATCATTTCAATGAAGTTGTTCACCCAACTTCTTTACTACCATTTCACTAGTGGCCATGACATTTATACTCAGAAGAAAATATACGTAACTCAGGGTTGAACTGTGGAGTCCATTTCTCTGAGCTTAGTTGTTTCATTACCCGACTAAGCAACATCATCAGTGAGAGTGTGGGGTTTCCTCTTTCCTTGGTGAGAAAACCGCATGCCCGTCGACACTGGCAGAGCAAATATAAGCTACATATAAACAGAGGGCAAACCCCACACTCACTAACACTGATGATGTTACCTAGTCAGGTAATGAAATTTCTGCAAGCAAACAGCCAAGCTCAGAGAGTACCAAGGACTTCACATTCGTATTCTCGAAAGCCATAGTGATAACTAAGTCCAATTTGCAGCAAATACGTGAATATTGTTTTCCAAACAAGCCCCTCCCAGGCTTGTTTGGAAAACAATAAATCAGACGTAGCACTAAGTGCACTAAGTAGAAAGATACCTGTAACCAGTCCAGTTTTATCAGGGCAGGAGTGTCCCTGACCAGGAATACATGGGAAATATTCTGTTCCTGACTTTATAACTTCAAAACAGTTAATGCTTTTCTTATTTATCCTTCAAAACCCTGAAGTAGGTCATTAATAAGCCACTCGACAAACACTCAAAGACGAAATGGGGTCAAATTAGAGCTCTGGATAGTAACTGAAAAATATAATAATCCCAAGTGCATGTGCTTGGGGGAAGGGAAAGGAAGAGAAGCTGGCTCTCTGTTCAAGGACTTCCAAATACAGGGTTCTGACTCCATCGACTCTCCCGGGCAAATCAAGTCCTAAAGGTGGCTACCAAGATGGTAGGAATTAGAAAAAAATATTAGAATAAAAGATCCAATAGAATATATAGGCCAAACAATTTGCTCATGTACTATACAAGCCTGGTGAAATTGTAGTGCAGTTGGAAGCCATGTGCAAAATCAGAACATGGAAGAAGATTGAAGCCTGGGAGGTCGGCTTTCTCCCCACAATGAACTACTAGAGATGTTAAGAAAACAACTCACTGTAGGATTCTGTTCTCCACCATTAAAAGACTGGCAAGATCCAAGACCAAACGTGAGGATAAAAAGATGGGAGCTGAAACCACCCTGAGCCCCGATATAGCAAAACCCAATGCATGTTAAAACAAAAAAACAACCATTTTTTCAAGCAAACTAAAATCCAGCCCCGAGTTCTTACCTTTGACCTGTCTGAAAAAAAGGCCAATTCACAACACTCACCTCTCCCAATTTGTCCAACTTCACGTATGTCTCCAGCTTCCCAAAGCCAATCTCCGACTAAATGAAAAAGGACCAAGGAACAAAGTGTAATGGATCTGCCCTTTTCGGCCCGGGGTGCTTAGGGAGTTCAGCAACAGCAGCAGTTGCTGGCCTGTAGTACTTAGTACTGGTCCCACACCAGTGAATGGGAGAACAATGAGAAGTGGAAAGGAGAGACAGACAATTCCTATTTACCAAAGAGACTCTGCGTAACCGCCTGCTCAAGGGCTTGTCAAAGAGAGGACTGTTGAGGGTCAGTTTCTCCAGGTAGCCTTCGGGCAGACGGATGTCAGCTGGGAGTGACAGGCGCTTGTTAATATCCTGAGAAGCAAGGAAAAATTAGTCAGCTTTTTTATTAAATTCTCCCAAAATTAGAAGCCTGGATATATGGATGGATGGATGGATGGATGGATGGATGGATGGATGGATGGATGGACGGACAGACGGACAGACGGACGGACTGACTGGCAGACTGACAAAGAGTAAAATGCACAGGATAGAAGTACAGAAGACAGGCGACGGCGATGGCGGCTAATCCTTAGCCGTCCAGCTGGGAAGGTGTCAGAATCGCGGAGCCCAGCGCGTATCAGCTGGCCCGCGGTTCGCAATTCCCTTCCCGGGCAAAGGGAAGGGATAGAGAACGCAGGAGTAGAGGTAGAACCCCTGAACCCCCTCTGGATTTATTCCTAGAGGGGGTGAAAGGAGTGTTCCCTCGGAGCTCCTGCTGATCTCCGCCTCCCAGCTGTTTTTGCTTCCTTTGAAGCAAAAGAAACCGCCGCCTCTATCTCCGTGAATATAGCGTCCTGGTGAGTAATTTTTAAAACGGACAGAGCGGATTAAAGGATTTTCTTTTTACAGTTTAGGGCTTTATTTCTTTTTTTTTTAGTTAGGTTTTGGTTATTTCTCCTTTGTTCTTTTTTTTTTGGTACGGAGAGAGGAATTAAGATGGCGTTTTGAAAGTGTCGGAGTTTTTTTTTCCCCTCTTTAGTTTTTCTTTATTTTTAAAGGACTGGATTTTAATGATTTTGCTTTTGATATTTTTGCTCTTGGTACTGGATTTTTCCTTTGGCTTTTTTCTCTTTCTCTTTTTTGGATTTTTCAAAGACTATGTTGGTGCTGTTTTTTTGGAAAAAAAAATCTTTTCCTCCTCCCCTCTCCTTGGGGAGAAGGGAAGTGAGAACGGTGTCATATAAAATGGCTTCAAAGAGACAGCTGCCTTCGACAACACCTAAGGTGGTTTCTTCTCCTACAACTCTTACTGCACAACCACAATAACTTAAACATGTACCACCGGCTCAGCCACCACCCTCTCCTCCTCTGCCAGGCCTGTCAGCACAAGAGGTTAAAGGTATAATGGGGGATGCTATATCTCAAATGAGAGATGAAATGAAGCAATTTGTTATACAGATTAAATCTGATATTAAATCTGACATTAAAGAAGAGATAAGTCGGATAAAGGGTTTACTAGAAGCTAATAATACCATCTTGCGACAAGATATAGTTGCAGCAGTATCAGGCTTGGCTACGGTGGTGGTGAAGCTGGATGCAAGACTGGAGGAAGTGGAAGATAAAGTTGACTCTTTTGATGATAAACTTCAAGATGTGGAAAGGAAGGTGGAGACTTCACAAGAAGATATTCTTATGTTTCAGTACAGACAGATGGAGTATGCCTTGAGGATTAGAGGCCTTAAGGAAGATATGAATCAAGATCTGATGGAGATGGTGCTTACTGATTTAGCTGTTGCTCTGAATATGGATAAAGGAGAATTACGCAGAGAAGTGGAAAAAATTTACAGAGTCAATTCTTGGATTGCGAAGCAGAAGAATTTACCCAGAGATGTGGTGATTTATTTTACAAAGAAGTCTCTGCGTAATGAAATTGTACAAATCTTCTATAATAAGAGATTCCAGATTGCTTCTCAAGATATTATTATTTTAAAGGAAATCCCATCAAAGTTTTTAAGAAACAGGAAAGATTTTTCTTTTCTAGCCAATAAGCTTAAAGCTAGATTGATGCCATTCAGATGGGAAATCCCGATGGGTATTGTTCTGAGCCATGCGGGGACGCGTTACAGATTGAATACGGTTGACAAAGCCAGAGAGTTTTACAACACGGTCCTGGGTGCAGGCTCAGCTCCACCTGTTCAGAAATCCTTGAGTGGCAAAGAGTCGGAGCAGCAATCTGAGGCATTAGGTTTGGTCTCCGCTGGGATGCTGCAAGCTGAATTGCAACGTCAAACGGAGGTTAAAGAGCAGAGAATGACCCGTGCAGCTTACAGACGTAAAGAGAAGGAGCAACGCAAGAAAGAGGCTAAAGATGCTTCTTCTGAAAGTGCATCATTGCCGGTGGGAGGAGCAAGACCCAAGAGTTATATTTTACAGGGTCTAGAGATTCCTCCTTCATGGCGTAGTGCTTTTATATCATTGATTCCAAAGGAGGATCAAGATCTTACTTTACCAAAGAATTATAGGCCTATATCTCTTTTAAATGTGGATTATAAGATATTTGTAAAAATTTTAGTAAATAGGCTTATGAGGGGTGTGCATCATCTTGTGCATAAAGATCAATCTGGGTTTATAACTGGAAGGTATATGAAAAATAATGTTAGACAAATTATCAATTTATTAGAATATTTAGATAAGAATAACCAAGTTCCTGCAGGGCTGATATTTTTAGATGCTGAAAAAGCTTTTGATCAACTGAATTGGCATTTTATGCTAAGAGTAATGGAAGAGATGAATTTTGGTGAAAAGATAGTACAAGCTCTTACGGTAATATATCAAAAACAAACGGCACAACTTATTGTTAATGGAGGTTTGTCAGAGGTTTTTACAATAGAGAAAGGTACTAGGCAGGGATGTCCATTATCACCGTTGTTGTTTGTTTTAACATTGGAAATATTGTTGATCAAAATCCGAGATTCGCAGGAAATTAAAGGAATAGAAGTTAATAAAAAAGAATACAAATTAAGAGCTTTTGCGGATGACTTGGTGGTTACTTTGTCGCAACCTACTCACTCTGCAGAAAAGTTATTACAACTGATTCATTATTATGGTGTGGTTTCGGGTTTTAAGATTAATGTTAATAAGACTAAAATTTTACCTAAAAATATGACTAGTCAGGAGAAGCAGACTTTGGTTAATTTGACGGGTTTTGAAATTGTTAATAAGGTAAAATATTTGGGGGTGATGTTATCTGTCTCTAATGCAAAATTATTTAAAAATAATTATGAAAGGTTGTGGGTTAGGGTACAGAAAGATTTGAAGAATTGGGAGAAGTTGCAATTATCCCTCATGGGAAGAATTGCAGTGATAAAAATGAATATTCTACCCAAGTTTCTCTTTTTGTTTCAAATGTTACCGATTTTGAAGAATGAGATTAATCTAAGTGAATGGCAGAAAGGCCTTAATAAATTCATTTGGGCAGGGAAAAAGCCAAGGGTTAAGTTTAAAATTATGCAAGACTTCCGTGAGAGGGGTGGACTCAAGGTACCGAATTTGAAATTATACTATGATGCGGTGGTTCTAACACTAATTAGTGATTGGGTAAATTTGACAAACTCTGAGATATTACATTTAGAGGGATGGGATTTACTTTTTGGGTGGCATGCCTATTTAATATTTAATAAAAAAATGGATTGGGTCTTTAAAGCTCATATTTTAAGAACTTCTTTACTTAGGACTTGGAGAAAATATTATAAAAGTGATTTTAAAGTACCATTATGGGCTATACCTTGGCATGCGATAGAAGGAATAAAAAGAGGTGCTAAAATGGATATGGTATCTTATAGACAGTTACTTAGATGGGATGGACAAAACTGGCAGTTAAAATCACGGGAAGAGTTAGCACAAGAAAACATTATTTATTCTTGGTTCCAATATAGGCAACTAGTAGATAGATGAAAGGTGGATTGTAAGGTGGGTCTTCTTAGAGAAGATGAAAATCTTATTAAGCAAGTGAAGGATCAAAGACAAACCCACATTAAGAGGATTTATGGGGTTTTAGTTGAATTGGATTCAGAAACGGAACTAATTAAAGATTGCATGATCAGATGGGCGCAGAATTTTGGTGAGCCAGTTCCATTGGACATTTGGGAAATCATTTGGGTGAGAAATGTCAAATTTACACAAGCACAGAACTTAAGGGAGAATTTTTATAAAATGTTTTATAGATGGCACCTTGATCCACAAAAAAATGTCTCTTATGTACCCTGACTTACAACCTAAATGTTGGAGATGTGGTTGTACGGATGCTACCTATTATCATATTTGGTGGTCATGTAGAGAGATAAAAGCATTTTGGATTAAGATATGGTGGAATATCCAGAGAATTTTTAGAAGGAGGGTAAAATTTACTCCGCAATTATTTTTGTTGGGTATAGTTACTGATTGTGATACAAAGGAGGTTATATTGATGTTAAATTTGATTACAGCCGCGAGGCTGTTGGTAGGACAATATTGGAAGAAGGAATCTTTGCCTACATGGCAGGAATGGTTTCTTAAAGTGTCTTATTTGGCGGAAATGGCAAAGATTTCGGCTTTTTTAAAGGAACAAACGCAAGAGAAATTTCTTGCTGTTTGGGATAAATGGATAAAATTTATACAATTTAAATTGGATATAAAAAAATATCATATAGCTTTTTCATAATTTTTATATATATATATATATATATATATATATATATATATATATATATATATATATATATGTATGTTAATGCTATATTTCTTTTTTCTTTTTCTTTCTTTTTTTCTATAAATATAATTTCTTAACTGTTTTTTTAATTAAGCCTATATCCTGCTTTGGGAAGCTCGGGGGGGGAAGGGGGGTGTTTGGGTGGGGGTGGGGGGAGGGGGGTTTTGTTGTGTAATGTTTAGTTTTTTTTTCTTTTTGTATATGTGGTTTTTTGTTATTGTATTGTTATGTTTTTTTTTCTAAAATTTATAAAACTTTTTAATAAAAAAAAAAAGAAGTACAGAAGACAGTCTCCAGTTTCTCCTACACTAGTCTGATACGAAAAAATCACAACCTCTCCTTTAACCAGTATAGAATCTAAGCAAAGAAAAGTCTAGGTCAGTGGTGGCGAACCTATGGCATGCGTGCCAGAGGGGACACTCAGAGCCCTCTCTGCGGGCACATGTGCTGTCGCCACAGCCCCCCTCCCCTCATGGTCCCCTCCTCACCAGCAGCCCCCCCCCAGAGGTGTCGCCCGCAGGCATGGCCCGCGCAGAGCAGCGCAGCCAAGGACATGGCAGCCGGGCAGCGAGGACAACTCCGCCCTTGCACCCGTCACGTGCAGATGATGCTGCAAGGCAAAGGTGGAGGGCGTGGCCACCATGGTGCTGCTGGGCCACCTGGGCAATCTGTGGTGGGCCGTGGAGGCAGTAGGTGGCCCTGCAGGTGGGTGGGGTGGGGGCGGGTTTTGGGCACTCGGTCTCTAAAAGGTTCTCCATCATTGGTCTAGGTAAGTCCTGAGAAGAGCATTAATAATCTTTGGATTCTTCAGGACATTTGGGGGCGACTGAGAGATCTTGGTAGGAGTTTTCTATGCTATCTCACAAACCCATATATGGGAATACAAAGAAGTCACAGGGAACGATCAAGTTTTACAATGGTTAGACTCACAATATGTTAAAACTCCGTTATCTGGGTTAACAAATAGTAGACACAAATAAACCACTAACAAATCGACCCCAGTTTAATTTAGCCTAGCACAGTGGTTCTCAACCTTTTTAATGCCGCGACCCCCAACCGGTCGTAAGTTGAGGACTAGTCAACCAGTCTTAAGTCGAGGACTACTCAACTGGTGCAGCACCGTTTGCAGAATGGGACTTTTGGCGGGCTCAGTAGGGTAGAGACAGTCTGGACAATTCCTATTGGCTTTTGAAAGCCAATAGAATTAGACTCTATTCAAGAGAGTCTATTCTATTGGCTTTCAAAAGCCAATAGAATAAAAGGGAGTAGCACAGCCAAGGAAAAGGGGGAAAAATGGTGGACTGTGTTGTTTGGCGACCCCCGTGAAATGGTCATTCGACCCCAAATGGGGTCCCGACCCACAGGTTGAGAACCACCAGCCTAGCATGTAACGCAAACCCGGCGAGAAATTCTGTACAAAATCCACGCATTTATCAAATGTTTGTCTTACTTTATTTGAGGTTACTTGGGGTAGACTTTGCATTCCCTAACCACTGAAGTTAACTTTGGGGAGTAAAAGCAGCGACTGTAACTTGAGAAGCAAGACATCTTTATTCCTTTCACATCTCTCCATACAAAAACAGCCCATTATAATGGGAGACAGAGAACTCTTTGTTCCCACCTTAAGCTGTCCCTCCATCCTCACCAGCCAGCACCCACATACCTCAGTGGAAATCTTGCGCGCTGGGTTGTTCCGCATGCGCACTCGGACTGGAGACTGCACCTCATCTGATGATGTTCCTGATGCCTGATCACTCTCACCATCCGAACCCATTTTGAGGTCCTCATGAACAATCTCTGCACCAAGGAGAAATGTAGATGAAGACAATGTGGGCAGAGAGGGCTCAACCCAATCCCTCTAATGTTTGTAAAGCTGAACTGCAGAAGGAAGAACGGGTCAGCCCAATGCGTTGGAACTAGAAGTCCCATCATTCCCAGGCCACAGACTATGCTTACTGAAAACTTCTGAGAACTGCAATCCCATTACAATTGGTGGGCATTAGTTGGAAAGTGGCTGCTGTCAATCCCTAAGCATAATGTTTTATGTAAAGTCATAAATGTTTTAGATAAATAAATACCCTTCTTTCAATTTGAAGCCAATTGTTGAGTGTTCCACATACAGCAACTCAACCATGAATTTCCCTTTTGGCAATCTCAATTCCACCTCTCCAGAAGGTTTAGACATGCGGCCACCAAGAGTACCTCCTCAAAGAAAACGAAGACTACCTGGCTATAGATGGTATTCACTACTTCACTACTTTAGACTGATGACAATTTTAAGAGGTTCCTTGCATATAAAAAGCTACCGCAACATGTAAGAGCCTTCGTTAGACTTTCCCTATTCCATATAATTGTCCTTTATTAGCAGGATCATAAGTTCTACAACCTACTCAGTCGTTTACTCAGCTACAGGGGTATAGGTAAGATCAGAAAATGGGATAACATATACTGATCTCCCTTGGTCCACTTCGTTTGTTTGTTTAATTTATTTGCCACCCATCTTGTTTCAGAGCGACTCTGGGTGGCCTTCAGCATAAAAATCACATTTAAATCATCAAATATAAATATACACCCAATTATCCCCTAATTTATTAACCACTTCTACCAACATATTTTGACTAGTTGCATTACTTATAATTATGTTGGTTCCACAATCTCATGTCAAAAGTCCTCTAAATGTTCAGCAGAATATTTAAGTACGTGACAATCAAAGTATGTACCATTTTGGGCCCACTTTCCTCAACATGATGCCCTCAAGAAATTATAGCATCACCCATCTTCTCCAGACAGCATTAGGCATTGGAAAGTGTAGTCCAGTACATCTAAAGAGCATCAGATTTAGGAAAGTTGCTCTGGGGACAGGATTACACTGGCTCTGATTCTGTGCATTTTTTTAAAGACAACCTGAACCTTGAGATCTGCTTCAGTATTTTTTAAAATAGCTGTATGTTGAATTCATGCCTGTAATACTCTCAAGAACCCAAAACAATATTTTCCGACCTAATGCTTTTAACTCCCCAAATTCCTAGCCTCCATAGCCATTGTTACATGTCATAAGCCAAAAGAGTCTCTTTTATTTTAATCTAGTTTCAAATCCCAATAAATTAAACTGAATTAAATTACAGCCCAAATACTTCTGAAAGCTACCTGGTTGGGAAAGTCTGACTTAAAATCACTTGATATTGAGTAAGGCCATTGGTCCACATTCTCTAGAGAGCACCGTAGGGGTAGTCTTATGAAATGATCCCCACTTTATTGCTAAAGCACCTCAATCTTTCATCTTTCACAGAAGATTGTGCTAATCAATTGCTGCTCAAAACCATCTTATATAGAGGATGTGCCTGGCATAAACTAGACATGTAGATGGCACTTAGAATTGCCCAGGAAAAAAATAATTAATAAAAAGTATAAATGTAACATCATGGTCGGGTTCACACATTATGCTAAGCCAGGATTTTGAACTATAATTACTGAAAAAAAGCCACATTTAGCTTTACAGACAACACCTGCTGTAATGCAAGTGTCACGTATTGGGCTAACAGAGCATACTAGGCATTAGCATAGTGAATGAGACCAGCCAGAATAAAGTGTATAGATTCAGAATGATGCACTGGATAAGACCAAGGCTCATTTCTCTTCAAGCGATACCCAGCAATCGGAGACTCCAGCCTCCTTACCAACCTCATCCTGGAGCAGAAATGCAAGACTCTGGGTTCTCCAGACTCCGTACTCGAGGAACTGATGTACCCCACCTCGACACAAAAGGCTCAGGTGCATAAATAAGTTAACTGGGACTCCTAAAAGCCACGCTTGAAGCCAGACTGGCTTGACTTGTGGCCTCAACCCACAATGGGGAGCCCTTACTGGCAGCACAGTGGGAGGTGCGATAGTCACCTAATCTGGTGGTGCGGCCGAGGTGAGAGCTCAGGCTGCGGCTGACGGCCAGACGGGGCCTGTGGAAGGAGCCTGCGTAGTGGTGCAGGAAGGCGTGAACGCTGCGGGAGGTGCTGGGATGCACACTCTTCACTGTGGGGCCTGGGGGGCAGGAGAGGGAGGGGAGGAGGAAAGCCCACAGACAGACAGATGGGAGGGAGGGATATGGGAGACGCAGGAAAAGTGGAGGGGGACACAGGTGGCCGGGGAATGTGGGACAGTGAAGAACAGAACATCAGCAAAAGGAGAGAAGGGGAGTGGTAGGAGGGGAAACACCAGTGAGAAGCAGAAGTAGGAGCAACAGAAGGAGAAGGAAGGTGGGATCCCAGAAAATGGAACAGCAGAGGAAGAATATCCATCTCCACCCACCACAAAAAAAATATGGAAGCATAAACAGGGAGAGGGAGGGTAAAATGGAGACAAGGAGGAACCCCAAGCAACATCCCAAAGGGAGTGATATGGAAAAGACAGATGCATGAAAGAGAAGAAAGGAAAAGAAGAGGTCGAGCAAACAGCCCACAGTGAAGAACCAAAGCACGGGTGGGGGGACAACACAAAGACAGTGGCCACCACATAAACAAAGGGATTGATGCCGCCACAGAAGAAGGGAGGCCAATATAAACAGAAAGATGGAAAAAAGGGGAAAAAAAGAGAAATATGAAGGAAGGAAAAACAAAACACAAATCAAAGTAGAATGGAAATCAAACTCAAAAGACAGCCCTCAGCTGAGGGGCAGGATTGGGGATATAATGGAGAGACAGGACTTACCTGAATGAGACAGCCTTCCCCCTACCATCCTAATAACCAGAGACCCCATCCCACCCCTCAAATATATTTGAGATTGGAATATTTATAGCAGTGATGGCGAACCTTTTAGAGACCGAGTGCCCAAACTGCAACCCAAAACCCACTTATGCATCGTCGGGTGCCGGGTGGGTGTGGCCCATTGGGTGGACGTGGCTGCGGTAGTAACGGCAGACTGGGTGGGACTAAAAAGTTCAATCAATCAATTCCAACTTTGCAAAATCTTTTTTTTCCTGCCAGAAGTTGAAATTGACTGATTGAACCTTTTTTTTTTTTTGCACACGGCGACGGAGGCCTAAAGCAAAAAGATTTTTAAAAAACCCAGCTGAAGGCCTAGGATTTGGGCGACGGCGCACGTGCCCACAGAGAGGGCTCTGAGTGCCACTTCTGGCACCCGTGCCATAGGTTCGCCATCATGATTTATAGTATAACCATGAGTAATGTTGGTTTGCTGCATTGTTTCAAATCACAAAATATATCTTCTGATGTAGCTTTTCATGAGTTTAGCAATTTCTTCAGAATCTCAGCTGCATTCTTAGAAGTGAAGGGTCAATATTCCAGTCCTCACTATTCCACAGGCAGCCTTGACCCAGCAAAGACAAGATGGGTTGTGTGAATTTCTTGGATTATGCCTATGGCTATTTTTTTTTTTTAGTGTAACAGAAACATCTTAATTATACTCACTGCTTTCACCTGCACTAATGCTCAGGATTAGACTCAGAACTGCTTTCTGTGCTATTCTGTATCCATTCCAACATGTCCTTTATTTTCTGCTATTTATGAGGTTAGGGTGGTGAAAATAGGCACTAGTGCTGGCATACAGAGAGAGAGAAACAGGAAGCATCCTTTTCCTCCTTCACCGTCATTATCATCATTTTTCACCTCTAAAGCTGTCCATTACTGTAGCCTGAATAGCTCAGTTCTGTAGATAAACTAGTTTCACAGCTGGTTAAAAGAGCCTCCAGGTTGCAAGGAATTATCTGACCATTTGCAAAGGAAGTTGCTAAAACTCTTTTGAAAAGCGTTCTACAGAATGGGGGCACACTTTATGTCTTTTTAACAAAAAACAGCCCCACTTAAGCCAAGGTTTGGCAACGTTCAAGAAGTCAGGAGCCACAATTCTGCCTCCTTATCTTCCAGAGGGCTTCAGGAAATTGTCCCTTTTTTTAGAATTGGGGGGAGGGAGATGGGGAATGTTCAGTGGTAGAAATGGAAGGCCTCTGAGAAGCAAGCCAATCACCCCTCCTTAAATTTCCAAATGCTAGTTTGAAAGCAGCTCCCAAATTGCCACTGAGTTTGTTTTTCAGGTAAGGAAGTTAAACATGAATAGTTTGCTTCCAGATGTCTCCTGTTTCAGTTTCCATCCTTCAAATGGAAAATCTGTTCCCCCACCCAAAAAAAAAAAAAGTTAAAATCAGCCTAACAAATGTACTAGATATTTTTTGGGCTTTCTAAAAAAGCAACTTGTACCCTGTGGGATGCTACTCAGGCTTGCAACTCATTTGTCTTAATAAACTGCCATCACACTCCCATGTGAGTGTTGTGAGTCTGTGTGTGTGAGAGAGGAGGGGGAGAAATGTGCATGCAAGCTGTATAAACTTTAGCATTAGAAATGGGCTTTTTCAAAGGGCAACCATCACATTCTGGCCTGGATGCCCCATCCCAAAATGCATTCTTGGCTATTTGCACACCGTTACCCAGACTGCTGCGGGACCTGTGATGGGGGCCTATCTCCAAAGACAGTCCAGAAGCTTGCGTGTGCACAAGGAGCCCCTTGCCCAGAGTTTGAACAAAACCAGGTCGGAAAACATTCCTTCAATTTTGTGCCATTTTCTGGCTACCAAGAAGCTTTCATTCCTAATCCCAAATGCCAATCTTAATTTCTGAATACCTGGAGACCTGACTATCTAAAAGACTAGCCCCGTCCCTATAAATCATCTCCATCTGGCTATTTAGAAATCTACAAATCTGAACACTTAGTAAGATTTACATTAGAGAATCTTCTTGGTCCATTTGCCAGTGCATAAAAATTAGCCCTTTCACAGCAGAAGTTTAGACAGGCAGCGAACCTATGGCATGGGTGCCAGAGGCGGCACTCGGAGCCCTCTCTGTCGGCACACTTGCCGTTGCCCCTGGCTTGCCTCCCCCTGCGACCCCCTCCTCTCCAGCAGCCCCCCTGAAGGACAGTCGCCTCGGAGCATGGCCCACGTGGAGCAGCGCAGCCAAGGACATGGCAGCATAGACAAGACTCTGCCCTTACACCCCATCGTGCACAATTGATGCTGCAGGGCGCGGGCAGAGAGCGTGACCACCATAGCGCTGCTGGGCTGCCTGGGCGATCTGCCACGGGCCCTGGATGCAGTGAGTGGCCCTGCGGGCAGGTGGGGCAGGGGATGGGGGTGGAGTGAGGGCGAGGCAGGGGGTAGAGCGGGGGTGGGACCAGTTTTGGGGCACTCGGTCTCTAAAAGGTTCGCCATCACTGGTCTAGTACCTTCAACTGCATTAATAAAAGGTGCTTGCACTTAAAGAAACTTTACTGAGCACCCCCTGATCTTACTGCCATAGCCACTATCCTTGTAGGCTTTTTAGTATATTGTTCTGTAAAGGTCCAGCTAAGAAAATCGATTGTAAGTAAATCAGAAAAAAAATCTGCTATCAATTCTCTCTCCAAGGAGGCTGAGGATCAATGAGGGAACTCACCATTATCGCTGCTATTGTTTTCCTCTATATTGATGGGTTCGTTGAGGTTTTTCTCTACAGTTCGGCTCCCCCGCAGCGTCATGGACAGCTGCCTCTTGATCTTCTTCATCCGATCCATGATGGGGAAGGGGCTGGAGTCACTGCTGAAGGAAGGGGATGAAGGAACCTTATCCAGTATGTTACATAAGCAACTTTATTTGGTAGGCAACATGTCAGATGTAGCAAAACTAATGCGGCATTAGACTACAGCTCAGATTCTAACATCGTCTAACATCCAGATGGTTACAGCCAAAGATTTGACTCGTGATCTCGAACCAACGTGAAATCTCTTGCTTTACTTGATCCCCAGGTTGAATAGTTCAAGATAAAGCAACGGAGGGTTCCAACAGCTCCATCCAACTTGACCAAAGGTGCCAAAACTGCTCTGTATCTTTTCATGTTTCAGATTCATCTTCCATGTTTTTTGTCCTTTCTATTCACTCCTCTGGAGAACTTCCCTTTTCAAAGCTCAAGCACCATTTCCTAGTCCACAACCTGTATTCCTTGGCTTTCCTGGTTTCACCTCAGTTGGGTTCCTCCTTTTTCCATCGTTCCATCCCTAGGTCTACCCGCTCATTTCCCTTCTAGGCGCTGACCAGATCTTCCGGTCATTTGTTCTTCTGTGAAGATAAAGCATGCCAGCCAAATCACTGCTAGAAACTACCGAAGCACCAACAGTACAGCCGCCACAATTCCCAGCGCCATTACCATGTAGTAATACAAATAAACATATGGCTTTCATTTTTAAGGAGATGGAAGAATGAAATAAATTCTGTTTCTGTATTTTGAAGGTCAGGGCAGGGGGAAATCGCTGACAGAACCAAGAGCATGCTGTTTATCAAATTAAACTGGGGCAGAGCACAGCAAACATCCTACACAATGAGACTATGAAATTCACCATTGTACAGCGATCTACACTGGGGATTAGATAGCTTCATAAAGAATATGACCAATAGTAGCTATTACCTCAGTACAGAAGCCTGTATCTCAATAACTGTTGTTTGAGGGAACCCTATTAAACTTGTATGATACTTAAGGGGTTTCTGAAAGCATCTGGTTACCTCCCATCTGTGGGAATAGAGCACAGTGGCCTTTGGTATGAGCTAACAGATATTTTGTAGCATCTTCCAAAAGAAAAAGAACATCTGAGAATCCAGGCACACAACCAGCCTTTTTTTATTTTTCATCTTATTACAGTGACCCTCTTGCTTGAACAAACCAGGTGGATGGCAGAAGCAGCAGAGCGTATACCAGAGGTCCCCAACTTTTTGGGCACCAGGGACCGGTTCCATGGAGAAAGGTTTTTCCACAGACTGGAGAGTGAGTGTGTTATGGTTCCGGCTAATGAAACACTTCAAAGAACTTCCAGGCATTGATTTTCCTAAAAGTCATTTATTGTTACAAAATGTCGGCACAGGCATAACCGAGGCTTTATGCTAAGATCTAAGTTCTCTTCCTCTGAGCAGTTAAATTATCAGCATGTTCCCTCCCTAAATTAGCTGTCATATATCACATTATCCAATTAGTGTGAAGGTCAAAGGTTTCCTTCCTCTTTCTCTCCCAGGCTTTACCCCCACCCCCCTTCTGCTCTGTATTAACCCCAAAAATACCAGACAGTTCTGCATATTGTCAAAGCAAGAATATACAATATTTGCAGCGTTGACAGCGTGGTTTTGTATGCTGCCTGCATCCCATAGATGGGGCTTTCCTTGTTTGTGCGGACCGGTTGTTGGCATGCCGCGGCCCGGTACCAGTCCACAGACCAGGGGTTGGGGACCCCGGCTTATACTCTTCATGGTCAGAGAGAGCCTACTTAGCTGTTCACACTTTTGTCTACAAGTAGTCCTCGGTTTACGATCACCATTAAGCCCCAAATGTACGTTGCTAAGTGAGAAATCTGAAGTGAGTTTTGTCCCATTTTACGGCCTTTCTTGCCACAGTTGTTAAAGCAATCATTGCAGCTACTAAGTTAATAACCTGGTTAAGCAAATCTGGCTTCCCCATTGACTTTGCTTGTCAGAAAGTCTCAAAAGGCAATCCCAGGACCTCGAGACGCTACAACCGTCATAAATATGAACCAGTTGCCAAGCATCCAATTTTTGATCACATGACCCTGGGGATGCAGCAACGGTCGTTAAGTGTGAAAAATGGTCCTAAGTCACTTTTTTCTGTGCTGTTGTAACTCTGAACAGTCACTAAATGAATTCTAGTAAGTGTTTTCTCTGGTCGACAAAGTTCCTCGGACTTATACTGGCTTCCACAAAAGTGAGACAATTTCCTCTGCCAGGTTAAAAAAAAAAAAGCTAATACTGGAGGTTAACACCTAATATTCTCTCCTTCACTATCTCAAGAAAGTCATTCAAAACCCAATGAAATTGAGAAATTCCCCACTGTGCTGCCCATTAAGCACCCCACCCTTTTCATCTGAATCCAGTGAAGAAGGACCTAGAAAAGAGCAGAAGGCAGAGGCAACCAACTTTTGTATTCTTAAGAGCCACTCTGACCTCCAACAGGAAACAACTGAGGAAGCCAAAACGAGCCTAGCTGGAGTGGCTTTACAGCGAAGATTCAACAGGCAATCTCTTTTTATAGGATGAAATCATTAAATGGCAGAACGTAGAATGGACTGAAGGACAAACATACTTCCCGAAAGTTAAATTTAAGGAAAACTTGCCAGGAGGCAAATCTCACGACAACTCTCCTTCAAAAAAAATAATAATTATAAGCAATACTGTTTATCTTTCAATTTAAATGTGATAAACCCGTTGGCTATCAGGATACAATGTCAAAGGCAGCTTATACAAACCATCATCTGGACACCATAGAAAACTCAACAACCTAACAATAAAACAGTCAATGGCCTGAGGATAGAACTAGTTCCTGGGATACCTGCCAGAGACTGGAAAACATCAATAGATTGGCCATCCACCCTTCCCCAAGCTTCTGTTTACAGAGCTAATTATTTAGTGATGAAGGAAAAAATAATGTGTGCCTCAAAGGCATAGTCTCAGTTCACATGGAATGACACACAGGGCTGTCTCTACAGAAAAGGGAAAGGCCACTTCCTCAGAAGGCAGAGCTAGGTGGAGACCTGGAATGGTAGTGAAGCATGGAAGAAAACAGCCCTTATGTCCTTTGTCACCAGCCCTGTAACCCAATTAGCCAGTTGCCCTCAGGCACAAAGAAGAATGTTGTAGAGCCAGCTTCTGTATGTGGAATTGGGCCTAGACCAGGGGTAGGCAACCTTGGCTCTTTTATGACTCGTGCACTTCAATTCCCAGAATTCCTGAGCCAGCATGGCTCAGCTTGGAAACCTCTGCCTTTCCCCTCAGTATGGTTGGCTCAGGAATTCTGGGAGTTGAAGTCCACAAGGTTACCTACCCCTGGCCTAAACAAATGAGACACACACACACACACCCCAAGAGGTACTGCAAATCTGCAGCTTCCAGAAACTCAGGCACAGAGTTTACAAAGCAAACGGTAGGACTACTAACAACTCAGATAAGAAGGGTTTTTCAACAGCAGCAGGTTTAAGACTCCACCATTCTGAGCCATCAAAGAGGAACACATTTGGTGAACTTTCTGCACATGTCAGGGAGATGGGGGGGGGGGAGTGTCTCTCTCTCTTTTTTTTTTTAAGAATAGATTTCTGTGTCATACTTATCACCACATTGGGATCTGGGAAAATGTTCTGCCCTGGGTCATTGTGGCTGACAATACAATTAGCATAATTGGTGCTAAAGACATAATTTGAAGGGTGTAAGTCCCTGCAGAAAACCCCCCTCCTTCCCCATCTTGCGCATCCCTGAGGAAAAGGATGACTTCATCTGAGGCCTGAACAAACTATGTTTGCTTACAAACCAAATTTTGGAGGCTTTCTTGCTGTCATCTACTTCTCGAGCGTTTATGAAATGTAACCACAAAGAATGGTAGTGAATAAGGAATCTGCCCGGTCAAGATCCCTTCCAACTTTTATTATTATTATTATTATTATTATTATTATTATTATTCACAGATGAGATCCAAATTCAGCTAGGGAGCATAGGAACTGGATCTGCTGAAGGCCATAATTTATCAAAAATGGAATAAGCTTTCCCTCTTCGCAATGGGGCCTGCATACAACTTGGACAAGCCTAATGTGAAAAAGTCTTCAATTCTCACTGCCATATTTTGCTGCAAGGTGGCTGTGACATTCCTGGTATTAGCCATTTATTGCATATTCGAAGTGCTACATCTGCTTGTAAACGGATCAAACGACTCCCCCCCCCCCATTTAATACTCTTGTGCATTTATACTCTTTCCTACATGCAGAATTTGCAAAATGCTTCAAGCAACCAAGACAGGCACAGCCCATCAGCCACATACAGTGGCTAATGATTTATTCAAATGCCTCCCCGTGTTTCATTACCGCAGGCAGAAAACAGCAAAAAAAAAAAAAAACACCTCCCACCAGATTTATTTATATACTCCACTGCAGCCTAGTTAAGCATCAGACTAGCCTGGTCCAAACTTGTACCTTGATTGAGTAGCTATCAGCAGGGGAAATTTCTCACGGCAAGGAAATGAACGTGATCACATATTTATGCCTGTTGTTAAAACTGTAGCTGCAAGGGGCATGCAAAATATTTCAAATTCAAAATGGCTCAAAGCTCACAATCCTCTGATTCGAGTTCAGAACACACATTGCAGGAATGAAAAAAGGGAATTCAAACATTTTGCACATTTTTACTTTTTTAAAAAAAAAATCCTTTATCTGGGATTATCAGCACAGTCCCTTTGTATGTTGGTATAGAACACTGTCATTTGTAAACATTCCATAAAGCAAGCTTTTCAGTTGTATACACTGAATGATAAAAAGAAGCTATCGAAACCAAAATCTCCAGTCACTCTGTTCAGCGGACGCCTAAGATCACTATACACAAAGTTTGGCTTCCACAACCTGGTCCCCTATATATTTGTAATATTCCAACTCCAACTCTGGACCTGCATGGTCATTAGAAAACCAATAAAGCATATTTTAAATTTTAAGTATGCATGTTTGGCATAAACAATACTCAGCACAATCCCAAAAAATGTGTATAAATAGCAGTCCTATTTTGAGCGG